AGCGGCGGCACCCAACAATTGTAACGCCTGAAAATTCGCGCGAAAACTATCCTCTACAAATAAGCACATTATCTATGTTTTAAATGATGCTATCGCTTACCATATCTCTTAATTAACAGGCACACTCGTTAAACACAGAAATACATTGGTATGCTGTGATCACACGCGTTTCATTCAAATCCGTCGTTCGCGTTCACTTTTCATCCCCCCGAAACTAAACAATCATGGCTACGGCGTCACTCGAAAATACAACACGAATCAAATCCAACACTTTGTTGTTCAGAAATTTCAAGTTAATCGAACGACAAAAAAATAGGTAAATTTAATTGTTAATCGATGTAAAATAACAACATAAAACAATATCTATAACATATTTCTTGTTCGCACTTCATCAATTTCTAGAAGTTTTCCGGTTACGCACGCGACATCTAGGTTTCAAAGAGACTACGGATCTAGGAATATAGGAAAAGAAGTGGGGACCCTAATAACAGATGCCCAAACTTGATTGGTTGCTTTTTTGCGCATGTTCTAAACCGCCAATTATGAGAAAGTAGAAATCAGATCCCTAAATTTTTCAATTTAGAAGTTTAGATATTTAAACATTTTTAAATATCCAAATATCCAAATATTCAAATTTTCAGATTTATATTTTTACATTCAGAAATTTGAAATTGAACCAAGTAACAGACAACCTAAACTAGACATTGGTTTACCTTGTCGACTTGTCCCAACAATTACTTGTTGCAATTGATATGCTTTGTCATATTCCTAGGTCCACGAAAACCGTTTTCTAACACTATTTATAGCGCTCGTCTATTACAAGAAATCGAATCAAGTAGTAGTATTCATATGTTTCAATCGAGTTAGTCTTATAATTATGCAATTCACAAATTTACATTATAAAATTATACGTATAAATGGAAGTAGTAAATACTGATAGATGAAATCAATACATTTTGTAACATTATTGTTATAAAAACATTTGTCTCAATAATAAAATATATGCATAAAAAATTCATATTTTAAAAGATTAAGATCAGAACTATAATCCAATTGTTTACTTTTACAGAATTTATATAACTCGTAGAAAATAATAATAAACAAGTCGTATAAAGTAGATTTGATGTTCTCAGTTATGTTTTTGTACCATTTAGGAACTCAATGTATAAAAAATTTGTGCTGTATCATAAAAACATGAAAAATTACAACATCTAGAAACCTATGAAGACCTATAAAGGCACGACTTCTATACAAAAATAGCAATAAATATTTCAGACTTTTATTGAATTACCGTTTAGCTATTTACATCATTATATCATAATTTTTCGGTATTATATCATTGTAAGAATAGCGAATAATAATTTTATGTTATTTATAAAATCGTACTGTATATTCTAATCACGGTTATTTCATTATTTACAGTATTAGAAAAGCCAACTTGTACATTGACCTATGTACAATAGCATGGCGTGTATATTATTTGTAGCTATTAATTAGTTTGCGCTTATGAAATATGTTTAGTACAATTTTTATGTATACTTGCTTCGACTTCCTAAAACTACATCCTTTATGTGCTGTTTCACTTAAACATGAAAGACCACATTACTTTTGCATTTGCTCGTTATACATAATAATGCTAACTCAACAAAAAAATTGTATGCAGATTTTATTATTTATAAATATTATATACTATATATATAACAGTTTTCTATTATTTCAAATTGTTCTAAACTAAAAAAGTTTTTTATCATTTTTATACAAACACAAACATCTGAATGAATGAAAGTACTTGAAATTTCCAATAAATAATTAAATCAATGTACATATTCCTCACGCGATCATCGGTTTACCAATGTAAATGATCAATCTATTAAAGACTATTGCATTCAAATGAATCGAGATGTTTATGTCACGAAAATAAAGACGATCGTTTACCTTCGTTATATACCTGAATAATAAACTTTTTGGCTTTGATGTAAGTTAAAGATTTTCAAAAGTACTTCACCTCAGAATTTTCGCCTTACACGTGTACAGAGAAGTAAAAATTTTGCAATATTTATTGTACACGTCGCTGTAGTTACAAGAAGTCTACTACTTGGCAATGTAGCAAACGTCATTATTTCGAGTTAGAAGTAAAGAGTGCAATGGTCAAACACCGTTTGACGTTGTGGAACTATGAAGCGGCGGCTTTAATAGATCATGGTATTGTAGCAAAGCTTCTCGTAAAGATCTTGACACTTGACCCGATGCCGTAGCAATTGTACATTCTACTAAACAGGGATACAGTCCTATCAGTTGTTCCCATACCGATCTTTCAACTAAAAAAAAATTCACATTTTATTTCTATAAAAATATCAGTTAAAAATAATAACATGTATCAATTACACTCAACACAAAAATATATACACAACAATTACCTTTATTAGGAGGCGCTTTTTTTAGTGAAACCACAAGTGTAGCTACAGCTTTCAGAACAAATGAAATTTCAGATAATCTGTACCTAGAAAATGTTTCTATAATAAGTACTTAAAAATGAATGCCTTCATTACATCTTACGTAAATTTCGACATTATTAAATCATTTTACATATCATCAAAAAACGTTCAATTAAAAGCAAAACTATTACCTAGGTAACGGACATTTTCCACTTCTCCTTTCGTTTTCAATGTATCGACGAAGAACTTCTTGAAATCTGTGAAGTAAAGCGGTGACCGCCAAACGTCCAGCAACGCCTCCTTCGTCGTTTTCAGAATTTTTGGATGTATCATGTTCTGAATCATTATTCAGTCCATCTAAGAGTGAAAACTGAAGCAACGTTTCAAAACATGTTTTTGCAAACTCTTCTCTCAACTTAGTTTCGCCGCTACTTTCTGTAACACAACACAAAAAAAAATAATATTACAAGTAAATTCATTTTTATGTGGAGTTCGAGAAGTAAAGAAAGGTAGTTTACCAATATTTGTTGTAGTTGCTGAATGTATAGAGCCTTTATTTAAAAGCATAACTACTCGTAAAATAAACTGATGAGGTATGTGTTGAGAATGTGGTAATACTTCATCACGTAAAAGTTCCATCACTTGACAATCTACAGCTTCATCCGCTTGAATTTCTTCAACTCCTCGTTCAACGTTTAATACACTGTAATTAACAAAATATTAATACATTATTTTTGACGATATCAATGATTACAAACTTAAACAATTTTAAGAATTACCTCTTTGGAAATAAGAAGTCATCCAAGGTACTAGCTAGTTCCGACCACATATTTTGAAACTGTTCCGGATATTTCCTTGCTAAAGGCAAACCAGTATGTAATACAGCAAGAAGACTGGTAACAGCTAATTTCCAAGTTGTCGGTGATGGACAAGCATATTTCATTGATAAAGGTACGTGCAAGGCTTCTATAATATGCTTTAAAACTTGCCCATCTATGACTGCCATTTCATGCGCAGTTTTTTGGTACAATGTTACGACCATTGATAAAGCTTTCTCTCCGAAAGGAACGTAATTCATAGTTACCCAGTCAGTCTACATAAATAATAAATTGTAAATAAAATGTGAAACAATTTGATCATCAAATAGTTAAAGTGAATAAATACGCACTGATACACCCCGAACTTGGGAAATATGTTTCGTTGGTATTTTACCATAAGTGGGTGCTTCGCAAGCCAATTTTGAAAAACTCAGAAGCTGAAGAAATATTAGTACGATCATAGTTCGTAGATTATCAGGTCCATTTAATGCTTCCTGTTAAAAGTATAATAAACTTAATACTGAACAAAGAGAGGTAATGTAGATTATAAACTAAATAGTATACTTTTTGCAAAAGTTCCATGGAATGAAGTACACCATCCTGTAAATGAGTAAGGACGACATCTGGCATTGTAGGTAAGATGTATGGTGTCGACTCACCATGTACCGGAACTGCAACTGCATTTTTTAGCACAATGCAAAGTTTCTGTAAATCCGGACCAGTGAATCTGTAACAAAAAAAGAATATTTTAATTGTTAATATACATGGTGTATATTGGTACCAAAATTCTGTTTTTAAAATTAGAATTGGAGCAGCTGTAAAATATAAGCATACTTGTTCCTGATGTGTTGAAAAACAGCTGGAAATATATGAACTAACGCCGTTAAAAATGCTTGCGATGGTACATAAGGTTCCGTTTCACCTTCCTGAGGCGGCGTTGTACTTTCCATTCCTATATTAAGCCATACACGCCATGCGACAATCCATAATGCTTCAGAATCGTTCGACTGAACTACTTCATTATTGTCACTTCCTTTTTGAAGATATAAAATTTCTTGAAATGATTTTAAAGCTGCCAATGACACCTATGAAGTTTATATATATTGTGACAACATGTTTCGCGTTTAAAAAAAAAGAATATTATCTGTATATATACCTCATTGTTCTTACTAAGCGCTGAATTTTCTATGAATTCTAACAAGAGAGACCATGCTCTAGGAAAATCGCCTAACATTTGCAATAGTTGCCGTTTCGTGTTAAATACTCTTCCAACACCACTTAATGTCAATACCTGCAATTTAATCAATTTACATCTATTCTACTATTTTTTTTTAATGTAACTGCATGCTCTATTACCTGTGTTTCTGCCCACTGTTTTTGTGCAGTGTTTCTGCTATGATGAATAAGTATATTTCCACTAGTATCGACTTTTTCACTACTAGCAGAATTAGATAAACTTCTTACTTTGTCCAATAATGGAAAAAGAACCTGCCACAGTACAGCTTGCCAAGTTGGTTGGTGCAATAAACTACCATGAGCAGATATTGTAGAAAATAATGTTTGACTAGCCGATTTACGCACTGCAGGTCGGGGATCCACACATAAGTCACCTTTAAAACATAAAACTCTTAGTCTGTCAATAATTTGAAAATCATTCCTGTGATTTTAAACACGTAATTTAATATGTTACCTAATCTTGCATACAGGCACATCCAAAGTTTATCAAACGGTGGCATATTTGTTGTTCCAGGGAAATCCGGAAACACAGACGATGAGTCTCCTTTGAGAGAAACACAGAGCTTTTCTTGATTTTGATAAAAATAATCACTTATGTTCCACTGCAAAAATAATACGACGATATAAATATATTAAATTTACTATTAATCTCGGAAATAGATTTCGCTGATACATGATAAAATTATGAATCTAAAATAATGAAGATATACGATAGAAATGTATTATTCATTAACGCGTAATAAACTGTATTTGCCTGATTTTCTTGATTTTAATTTTGTTCATTCAAGATATTTTGGCTTCAACTTTAATAACTTTAGGAGCTTCTACGTTCTTCTATAACATATTCACATCTTTTAATCACGACTTTCTGCTCTGCTATGTATATTCCAAAGGTAATTCCGAAGCCTGTAATCGAAAGTTTTAACCAAAGTCACCGGATTCGCGCAATACATTTTCCAAACTCTTCTAACTTTGTTTTAAGAAGAAAAAATATTGAATGTAAGAGTGAAAAGAACTCCAAACTGAATTAATTTTGTCGTATCGAGTACTTTCTTACCATTAATCCTACTGCTGTTAATGAAATATTTAATTCTTGCGTTTGTGAACCAAATTTAGCAGCTGTGTCGACGCAAAGTGGAAGACACCGCCAAGGCATCACTGGCAGAAAATCAGTCACTACCAATTGCAAACATTGAAAAGCTATTCTAACTAAAGCTTCTCTGCAAAATATATAAATACATACATCAAAATAAAGGATATATTATTTAATCCAAATTGCACTGTTAATAATAATACATACCCATGATGATCAGATACTGCTCCAATGATACCAAGTACCAAAGGCCAGCCATGATACAATGTCTCTCCCGCCCCATGTAAAACTTGTAAAACACATTCAAGTTGTCGTTGTCTTACGTCTCCGTGACGTACTGACGACAATTCTGACAATGGTCCTAAAAGTAAAGTCTGCAACTTCTATAAAAATAAAGGAAATTACACTTTTAAGACTTAATTCATTAAAGTGCATTTTCAATCACAAAATGTTTAGTAAATATACTTGATTATCACGCAAAGGCTGTGGATATTTATGCTGCAGCGCCATTTTGACAAGGTATGTAATAGCTTCGACCCCCCATTCTCTCATACGAATGTGTGGATGCTGACAAACTTCTAATAAATGATTTGTTAGCGGCCTCCAAAGAACTTCTACCCGTGGTAAATTTACCAAACCAGTTTCCAAGAGCTTAGCCACGGCAAACAAAGATGGTTCCTAATACAACAGTAGATTAAATTTTTATACAATAATTCTGTAAGGCAAAGTATAAAAATATACACTTACTCTATTAGAGTAAGCCAACTCCATAGCTTCATGGCTTAGTTTGCAAAGTGCATCTATCAGGTGATGTAATGCTACATCATCTAGATGTTGGCTACTTTCAAATAGTCTACTAAGCATGGCGCTGAGTACAGGTAAATCTGCCATAACCGCATTTGTAAGTACTGCATTTGGATCAGCAGCAGTTCTCCCAGCTTTTAGAGACCCTCCTGTTGAAGGTTTCAAACCAAGTATCCAGACAAGATGTTGTAACGTCGTAAGTACCAAGTGCCATGCGCTACCCAGTATGCTTCCATGGCAATGAGCGAGCGATAGCAATGCTCGCATACATTGCAAATTCTTTGCTGTTAACATGACTGGACCTTGATGTGCACCTAATAACACAACATGTAGTTAAATAGAATATAATCAATTTATCGTGAAAATACTTTAAATTCCACATACATACCAACTGGTAAAGATGCAGTCGGTAATGGAGTTCCAACTGCTACTACCTGTTGCCTGTAATCTGGTTCACCGATCGTTACATTATATTGAGTGGATTCTTGTTGTCTTGCGGTCGGTATTCCTTGGGGAGCATTGTATAATACAGTCAATGCATAGTGAGGAGGTAATGATGCTTTACATATTGCAGTAATGAATGCATCCCTTGGGGCTTGCAACTCCAATTGCCCACACAAAGATGCGAAAGTTTGAATTGCTTTCAGTACATTTTCTGTTGCAGATTCATCAGTGCTACAATAAAAAAATGTCTACTATATTCCACAAAAAATTTAGAACACAAAAATAATAAAATAATCAATATGTTTCTTACCTTGCATCTATGAGGGGACTCAGTGCTGCTAACAAACCACACCAACTGGAATTAATAAGTTGAGTATGAAGCTTTCGTTCAGATTCACTCGGTTTATACGATTGATTTCCAGTTGTAGTCTCACTAGATCCATTTATAGCAAGAGCTATAGAACGTATTATATCTAACAAACAAGCATAGGCTATACTTATTCCATAACCAATAGGTATTTGAGGTGGTTCAACTTTATCGAGCATGTCCAAGCTAGAAATAAAACAAAATATTTGTGACTTTACGTCGCAAAATTATACTGTGGAAAATAATTATGAACATACTAGGTAGATTTAGCTTGACCACTTGTAAACGTTGCAACTACCGGTAACCATATACCACGCGAATAAAAACCAGGTTGAGGTGAAACGCCAGGTCCTATAGGCATTCCAGTGAATAATGGAGAGGTTGTACTTGGTGGTACCGCTGCGCCTGCCGCTATATCAGAAACACTTTAATATTGTTACAAGTAATATTTTATGGTTGTTAGTAGAATAAACCTTACCCATATTAGTTTGATTCATCATCTGAGGATTAACAAAAAGACTATGTACATAGGCGCCTAAACTATTGACAATATCTTGAAAGATATTAGTTGCATGAGGTTTTAAATCATAACATTCACAAAAGTTTGTAAGGAGATCTGCTTGCACTGTCATTTTATGTAAAACCTCTAATGCTAAAGCTCTTTGCCAAATTGGTTTATCAGGATCCAAGAATTTGACAATTAAAGACAAAAATATTTCACATTCAGTTACCTAAAAACATAGAAGTATTTCGACTTAGTTTTGTTGTATACATTGAAACTGACTTATAATTTATTTATATTATCTGTGTTAAACCAACATGGTTATAAAAATCTTTTTAAAAAATATTCTTACCAAAAGAGAATGATACTTCTGGATTAAAACTGAAACAACCCGAAGAAGCCTCATACTAATAGGAAAATAGGGTTTATCTAAAGGTGTAGCTTGTTGTAGAGATGCTGGGACAGAATTGCGGTATTTGATATTAGGTGAAAATAACTTAATCACAAGAGCACAAACTCGTTCTTTTAGCAAAAAACTAAATTCTGGGTGCTGAAAGAAATATAACAATGAAAACTCATAACTTATATTACAACTTACAAATACAACTATTACCAAATACCTTAAAAAATACGGACGAAAAATTTGTTAGGACAGATTCTAACAATTCTAATCCAAATGTACGTGTCATCTCAGTAATACCAATTAACCAATATGGTTGATCTGCATTCACTAATTGTACTAAATCCTAAAAAATTCACACTTAACAATTCAATGTTATTTAACAATTTAATGATTCATTTAAATCAATTTACTTGAAACATTAAGTATGCATCAGCAGCACATGGTCCTAATCCTTTAGGTGCCTGATTAGTAGGAATTTTCAATTCCTCTAAATTTATTTCATCAGAATCTTCATTATCAGGACTTTGTTCATCTTCTGCAACAACACGTTCAAATACTAATGACACCAACTGTCTTACTGTAGCTCCTGCTGTATTAATAGTTGTGGAATCCTTTGTGAAATGTAAACGAAAACAGAGTACTAAATTCTGAAATTTAAACATTATTTTTCATTAATTTCAAAATGCACCTAAAGATGTCTTTAAAAAAATAAAAAAAAATTAGTACCCTTGCAAGTGTTTCACCATGGACAACTGTATTGCTAGTAAGTAAAAGTGTTACAGTTTGTAAAACTTTAACTTCTTCTGTTCCTGACTCCATCAGCATCCATAATGTGTCCGTAATATAACGTGCACCTTTCTGATCAACTGCTTGTTGTGTAATTAATCTTTGCATCATACTTAAACAAAACTAAAATAAACAATACAAAATTTTAAGATAAATAATGCACAACACATTCTATCAAATAACAATAATTATTATTTCATATGTACCTTAATAATTTTTATATCTTTACTCTCACAGCCTTGTACTAATGGATATAAGATTTGATTAACGATATAATAAATAGGAGCACCCGAAGTATTCGAAGCTGTTCTTATTTTTGCAATTCCTTCTTCACATGACTGTAACAATAAGATTTTATGAATACCTATTATTTTAACATACATAACAACTTCACATCTGATTGTTGGAGTTTGTTTTTAATTACCAAGCATTATTTTAAAGAAAAAAATATTCAAAAAAAGGACACTTAAGGTTTCTAAACTAACCTAACTTCTTTGAAAATTATATAATAGTAAACATTTAACTACAAAAAAGAATAATAATAGGAACGTACTTCTTTAATTTGCGGGTATTTCTTCTTCGTTTCGGAAGCAAGAACTTTCAAGTCAGCTTGCAATGATTCCAAAAATTTGGAACTATTTTCCGAGTTGATTCCGACAGCTACATTCGCCATCGTATCCCAATTTTCTTTTATGCAGTATTACCATAAAAACTTATCTCATCGTCAATTATAACTTGTTTTTTAAAAAACGCATACTGCCATAAGAAAGTTCGTATCTAACTGATAGTAGGTGAGTTGGCACATCCCATGCCGATTATCAGAAATGACAACGGACAGGTGACAATCTATCAGGTTTTGTTCTCAAACATTTTAACTTACGTCATTTTTATAATTATTCTTGCAATAAACATTTGTAGGTATCAAAGGTACTTTGGTTTAAGTTGGTTAAAAATCGCGTTCTTCCACGATTATCAGTTACTTGCATCTTAATTATAACACATTCATGTAAATAATAAACCGTGGCATGCAATAGCGCTACCTTGTATATCGAAATCGTGTGTTAAATATCAAACTTGAAACACTTTTTAGACTAGAGTGGTACAATGTAGTGGAACTACAGACAATAGTCCAATTGTACATTCGAGTAGATACAATCTGTTCTACAGGAGATAGTACTAATAGATATAGATTTTAGGTGCCAGAATTTTTTCGATGAACTATATATTTGTAATATAACAAATGTTAACGTTTATATAATTATGTACAAATAAATTTTTAGCATGGGAAGGCTTCTAATAGAAGTCGCTACGCGGCGTTGAACTACGGTGTCTTTATTTTCTATTGATATTACTTTCATTGCCTTCTATATCCTTAGAGTTTCGAGTCGTTTCTTGAACGCATGTTACTACGCTGAAAAAAAATTAAAATTCACTCTAAGATATTTATTGAATTGTAAGAAAAAGTGCCACGAGAAACAATTTCAAAATCTCAAAGGAACGAAGTTCCTTACAAACTTGCGTACAAACTACGTAATAAACCTGATCTGACAAACGTGACTAAATTACCCAGAATGACGGCTCATACAGCTAGCGGTGATGGACGAGGTGCACATACACAGGCTTATAAAGATAAAAGCAAACCAACCGATATTCGAAGTAGTAACATTAATGCTGCGAAAGGTAAATAAGTCCTCAATGTTCGTACGATGCATTTTCACCGATTTATCTTTTTATATTGATGACGGAAATCTTACCTTATATAGTCATGTCCGGCACATCATAACTCACTAATTTTATGCTAACTTAGGTGTATTTCGAATTTATATTGAAATGCTCATACAGAGTAATAAGTACAAATTTTCAACTAAAAACTATTTATTAATATTTCAGCTGTTAGCGATGCAATTCGTACTAGTTTGGGTCCAAGAGGAATGGACAAAATGGTAAAATTATATTACTTATATCTGTTTGTATTAGATTCTCCTGTATAACATTTTTTGTTATATATTTAGATCCAAGCTGCTAATGGTGAAGTTACAATTACAAATGATGGTGCTACAATATTAAAAGAAATGAGTGTTGTGCATCCTGCAGCAAAAATGGTAATCTATTATAACGTTCCAATAAATTTTATTTGTAAAATGTGTTTGAAATTTTATATTATTAATTAACATTTTGTTATTTCCAGTTAGTTGAATTATCAAAAGCTCAAGATATTGAAGCTGGAGATGGTACCACCAGCGTTGTTATAATAGCTGGCTCTCTTTTAGAAGCAGCAGAACGTTTGTTACAAAAGGGAATACATCCTACTTTGATTAGTGATGCATTTCAGAAGGCTGCAGCTGAAGCTGTGCATATATTAACGAATATGTCTATTCCTGTTGATTTAAGAGATGAACAATCGTTGATTAGGGCTGCAGCAACTGCACTTAACTCAAAGGTATATACTTGACTTTTTGATATACATGATAATGAAAGGAAATAAATGATGAATTATATAAAATATACAATTTGTCTTATTTCAGGTTGTTTTTCAACAATCAAGTCTTTTGGCACCATTAGCTGTAAATGCAGTATTAAAAATCACTGAAGAAGGAAGGGAGAGCTGTGTTGATTTGAATGTAAGAAACCATACACTACAAATTTGTATAATCTATAGTTCTTTATTGTAATCGTATAATTATATTTACAGAATATAAAAGTAATAAAAAAATTGGGTGGCACTGTTGAAGATACTGAACTTATAGAAGGATTAATATTTACACAGAAATCTTGTAACGTTAATGGACCAAGACGTATTGAAAAAGCAAAGATAGGTTTAATTCAGTTTTGTATTTCTCCACCTAAAACGGATGTAAGTAATTTAAAACAGCATACCAGTTTTTCTTTCTAATACAAACTAAAAATGTTTACTATTCCAGATGGATCATAATGTAATTGTTTCTGATTATGCTGCAATGGATCGTATTTTGAAAGAAGAAAGAACATATATATTAAACATTGTGAAACAAATTAAAAAGGCTGGTTGTAATGTACTTCTAGTACAGAAATCTATTCTTCGCGATGCCGTCAGTGATCTAGCTATACACTTTTTGGATAAAATTAAAGTTATGGTGATCAAAGACATCGAACGCGAAGATATTCCATTTGTCTGTAAAACATTAGGTTGCAGACCCATTGCATCATTGGATCATTTTGTTGCTGAAAATCTCGTTAACGCAGAACTGTGTGAGGAGGTGCAAACGGGAAATTCTAAGTTTGTCAAAGTTAGTATGTTTATTATGATATACAAATTTTGGTTTACATTTTATGTTAAATCCATTCTTGTATTCCAGATTACTAAAATTCAAAATCCTGGACCGACAGTAACGATACTTGTGCGTGGCAGCAACAAATTGGTTTTGGAAGAAGCAGAACGATCATTGCACGATGCATTGTGTGTAGTTCGTTGTTTAGTAAAACAGAAAGCTCTGATTGCTGGAGGAGGAGCGCCTGAGATTGAACTCGCATTGAAACTCGTACCTTATGCTCAAACATTAGGTGGTATTGATGCTTATTGTATTAAAGGATTTGCAAATGCATTTGAGGTTTGTTATTCTTTTCAACTAACATTTTTTTATATTTGCAATATTTGCAGTACCTAAAATTGTGTTTGTAAATGTTTTAGATAATTCCATCGACGTTGGCAGAAAATGCAGGATTGAATCCTATTGCCACTGTAACGGAACTGCGGAACCGACACGCCAAAGGAGAACACACTGCAGGAATTAATGTACGAAAAGGAACCATTACCAACATTTTGGAGGAAAATGTAATTCAACCATTATTAGTTTCTACGAGTGCAATTACTCTTGCCACAGAAACTGTTCGCAGTATATTAAAGATCGATGATATTATAAATACCAACCAGTAATTATAATGAATAGAAGTTTTGCGCTTAAATCTTTGTCAAGTTTTTGCTGATCACGCGATATCAAATACAGTTCTGAGTTCAATTAGCTTTCCATATTTTTACAATTTATTAAACTAATAAAATCGAGTTATTTAACGGTTAAAATTCTTTTTATTATATTCCTAATAAATTAACTTGCTTTTATAAAAGGCAATCTGTTTTCATTACCTTTAATAATCTCTCCATATTATATGAAACCAATAAATTTTATTAAAAAAAAATAAGGCTGGTATGATTATAAAAAATTATTTATTTCTTTTGAAAACCATTTTTCGTGTTAAAATTCAAATAGTTTTATAGTTACAGATTTACGAAAAACAATATAAAAGTTACAACGCTGGAAAATCTAAAACAGTTTAAATATAAAATTAATTTAGGTTTTATACTCTTACAGAGTACATAAAACTATATTTTTGTGTTTTATAAAAAATGGTTACGCATTTTTGTTTTTAAATTATGTTTATAATTTTTAATAACTGAAATATAATTTTATAATCATTCTACATATAAAAGACTATATTATTTTCGTGTATGTACATTAAATATTGTGTCTTGTTTTAAAAAAAGTTTGATCATCATCCGGCCTTCGAAATGAATTAAAAGTCTCTAAAATATTTAATTATTTGCACTTGAGATTTACTAATACATTAAAAACAATTAAATAGAATAAAATATTTATTTAATTTCACTATTTAAATGCAAATTCCGATTTTTTGTATATTACCTAAAATTATTTCATTTAAAGGGTGGACAAAGATCTAGTAACATATACAAAGTCTTAAAACAATAATTATCTATATCCCTACTAATCAGTGAAAAGATGTTTTCACAATTGGTGCTTCAAATTAAAAAAGAAAGCTATTGGTCACTAAATAAAAATTGTGATAACAGTAATGAGATGCAGTTAAGTAAGAGTGAGGCCAAACCTTTGTGCTATCTCTGGTGAATGGGAAGTTGCAACTGCGAGTAGAAGTGGTATATCTGCTGCATCAAGGTCGAGAACATTGGTTAAATTCGCAATACTAGCATCGCATACTTCTGTTGCTAGAAGTACTTCAGCCAATGCTTCACTTTTTAACCACATTTCTCTCAGTTTTGCTTCAAGTATGCCTATGCACTACAGTAAAATGAACAAAAATGCAGTGCATTTAAATCTGTTCATATGTTACAGGTATTACTAAATAATGAAAGTTAAACAATTTTTTACTTGTGAAGCTGAATGATATTTTCGCCATAAGTAGACGAAGCCTTCCAGCATGTTGGACACAAGCCTCGACATACCAACTGGTAAAGGTGCAGTGTGTGAGGGCATATTATTGGATATAATCCCAACGTGCCAAGTGTCTAAATCCGCTAAGATACAAAGTGACTCAGCAACTGGTTGATCAATGGTCGGAAAACGTGCACTTGCAAGGCATTCTTCCCGTATACAATACCACCATTCTTTTTCTACTTCAATTTCCTCTTTATTCCTTTCTTGCTTGGCAACTTTCTTTTTTCTTCTCTTCTTCTTTTTTGGTAAACCTTGTAAAACTAAACCCCACGTGTAAGAAGTTTCGATATTATTTCCTCCTTGCGTGCTTTCGCTTTTTATTTTATTCTGTAAAAGCGTCTTCGTGAACCCAGTATCTTGACGCGAATCAGTCTTCTTTATCTTTCTCGTCCTATAACACAAATCGTACTTCATTAACTAATCTCACGAGTTTTTAATCAATATTGTGTTAAATTTATGAAACTAACCGGGGCATAGGTAATTCAACAACGCTGCTAGCTTCCATTAAAGCCTCTAAACTGTTTGATCTAGACATTCCAACACTTCCTTCACCGACAGTGTTACCGCAGGTACGCAACACTTCAGTTGCATTGGTCGGAGTTTCCAGAACTTGCTTGTAGCTATCATAATTTTGAGGAGGCAAGAAACTCTGGCCATTGCACTTTTGACAAAATCCAAAAGACCCTGAAGGTACTCCTGGCGGTGACTGAATGCTTTTGGAAGACTCAGGGAAGTTTCTCTGAATGATTTTTCGCAACACGCCTTCTGGCAATTGTGCAGACGTGCTTGGCACTCTCGTAAACATGTAAGAACATTGACAATTATATCCAAGCCGTGGTCGTGACAACGTTTTCAACGACTTCTCCTCATCGCCGAGCATGAAGAGAACATGCGAATTTTTCATTTCATTCATTGTGCCTGGACCAGTTTCAAACTCTGGCCTAGCAGAATATAATTTTAACGTATTGACGTACGGGTCATCAAATTCTTGCAAAGCATCTATCTTAGAATTCGTGAATGCTTCACCAGTACCATCGTCCCCTACCTTTTTTTCGAAGTTCCGCAACGGAAAATCGAAACAGTATTGTGTGTCAGTCTTAGTTACGTCAGCATCTTGCGATGCAATCTCACTCACAACTATTTTAACTTTGCTCGACGTACAAGTTTTCTCGTCGATAGGGACCTTCTCGTTTGCATTATCGTCCCAAAAAAATTCTTTCGTCATGAGCTTCGTATCTCTTTCAGATTTTAGTGGTTTTAGCATAAACGAATCAAGATTCGTTTCCATTGTGGTGCTGCGTTTAAGAGAGCTAACAGAACCTTCTGCTCCTAATCTTTCAACGTTGTATTGAGAGTAACAGCCCTGCATGGTGGCACTATCATTTTCCACGTCATACGAACGATCTACTGGAACTTTTTTCCTCGTAGATGAACGCGGTATACGTCGAGATGTTGAAGTTTCTCGATCATTACACGTTACTTTCGAATTAAATAAATGCGGACGTTTTATTCTTGCTTGTTCTAAAATGTTTGCAGCTTCTTGGATATCTTCTTCAATAACGCAGCAGTATTCTTTTCGTTTCTGCACGAGTCCACTACGAATGAAATATGATAAAAAAGATAGAACAGAATTAATCAGATCGGTTTTTTGTGGATCACCGGCAACGACAGTGTGCGCTATCCTAATGGGGTTACTTAACGCCCCGTACAGGTCACCCAATTGAGCCCACAATGGATTACAGGGATACCAAGTACCTAACTTTTCCATCTAAAAATAATACAGGTTTTTAAAACATGAACAAATTAGAAAAATTGTAAGAACAAGAAAAGATTACCAATTGTCGATCTTGAACAGGCAGTGTAGTATATATCCAACCAAGATGGTACGTTAAAACAGCAGTCACAACTGTACTTAAAAAACTAAGACATACAGATGTTGAATTGAATTATAATTTTCTACAATTTTATATTATATTTATATACTTACAAGTTAGTCGATTTTGTGTCAATATCTTCGAGCAACTGACACATTTGTTGTAAACTATAATGCAATGTACTCATTTTGTGCTCTATTCTCACTGAATTAAGTAATACATCATGCCACAGTAAAGGTGTGCGCGAGCTCCGGTTCGTATTAACATTTGTAAGTAAACGCAGTAACGAGAAAATCAATTGAAAAGAAGATCTGTAAAGCCGTTCGGGAAGTTGCATTCCTTTATTCTGAATGCTAACGTTATTCGGCTCGATACAGAAATACCGCAAACGATCTAACATTCCTTCTAACAAAGCCATGTGCTCTAGAAGACAAGCTTCTATCTTTCTGTAACATAAAGTAAATAACATGACACCGTCGATATAAACGAGTTATTGATAATCTGAAAAAAAAAACAAACCTTTCATGACCTTCAACTAATCGCACTAACATCGTTAGTCCCAGTCTGGTCTTATGACGCTTAGCAGGAGTTTCTTTATTCTCATTTCCATTTTCATTCCAATACTGCATTCCAAAAGCATCGTCGGAGTCCGTTCGTGCTAAAGACGTGGAGACTGCTCGCAACCATCTGCGACGTAAACTGGAAAGGCTACCAATTCCGGAAGATCCATTGCTCTCCAGTGATTGTGAACCTGAATTAGCAACATCTCAGTGACAAGGTAATTAGTTACATCAATAACTCTAATTTGACATGAACTTACTGCCCGTCGGTGGCGGTATGTCTATGTCCCATCCGCTGCCAGTACTGGAACAAGTAGAATTTTTCCTAGGTTCAGCGTTTGATTCAGACCCTGACAAGTTGCCGGAACTTGGTCTAGACACTAGAAGGATATTAAGAATGATTAAGAGAGGAGAGTTGTTACGTGCAATCAGGGCTGACGCGATGTATGTTCTACAAAAAAATTTATCATAAACTTTACTATGTGGACTCTTTGTGGACCCTAGAAGCAGTTACTAAGTCCACCTTTTTTAAGTTTGCATATATTCACGCCGGCCCTGTTTATACATCTTTTACCAGTCCATTATACTGAACGGTATTTTCTTGCTTTTATTATTAAATTGTCGTTATTAAGCCGTTTCAACGCTTCTGCTTACAGAGTGTTCGCAGACTGGAATTGGAATCCAAATTCACGGAACGACCTAATCCTTCATCCGATACTCTCTCACTGGAACACAGTAATCACGCAATAATTCAGATATCGCAACGACAAATCAATCGCAACAGGGTATCAATAATGGACGAGCCAATTTACCTTTGCTTGCACGTGTTGTGTTCCGTGGCGGGGAAAACTTTTGTGCACATGATACACGGCGGTGAATTCATCGAGTGAATCTTGAAGTCAACAAAAGAATTTTAATTTATAGCTCTAATAGTTCAAAGATTAATTATAGAGTGTAATTATATTTCACCTTAAACGAAGACCCTCTGTACGTCATCGCCACGGTACCGAATACCATTTCGCTTAATAAACTGACATCATCCTCGGCCGTCTTTTGCCGCTAAAAATTTATTATACATCTTTTAGTATAAGTTACTTTTTTACTGATAAAAAATTCTAAATTGTTACCTCAAAATTGCGAGCGTTTGAATAGTTAACCGAGTCGTTATTATTTTTGAGATCAAACGACGCTTGATTTTTGCACCATCGTTTTTCCAGAGGAAGGGAATCGAACAATAACTTCCTTCCACGCCACTCGCATTCCCGGAATAACAGGATCCGAACTTGACCCGGTCCAAGACATAAGGCGGAATTTCTGCAAATAAACATATATTTAAATACACAATAACTACAAACATAAAAATATTTTTCTAGTGTAAAATATATTTAATTATAACTAATAATTATTAATAATATATCATACTTTTGCAGTACTATTCATCTTACAATTAATTAAGCAATGTCTTAATTTAAAAAATTTCTAATATTACACTGTAATAATATATTTCTCTTATCTTACATAACTTTCTAGTCTATAGGTATTAATTATAAATGTCACAATAATCTTGTGACTTGCTAGAAACTATGATTAGATCCCGTACGAGATTGCATGAATGCGGATAAATTTTATATTTCAAATTTTAGGTTGATTAATAAATTTCTTTTGGATATCGAACCTGATATATCACCGCGTCATATCTATGTATAAGAAAGTAATTTTTATGCATTTGAAATAATTAACATACAAGATGTGGTAAAATAGTTTATTGGCATAAAAATATCCAGAAAACTGAAAAGATTTAGAACAGATGTTCCCGTAGTCTTAACATAGAGGTCAATTTTACGGTTCGATGCATAAAGCCAAGTCACGAGTGTGTTAGTAACGACCCAAGATTATGACTCCCGCCAACGAGATATATACACTATTTTACGTACGATCGAGATTTTCGAGCGACGAGTTTTAGTTCGATCTGCGCATGTCGACTCTGGTTGGTTGTACAAAATTTGTAACCGAGAGTAATGCGCATGCACCTTTACGACGATTGCAATTTCGAACGCATATACCTAGTGATCTTTTATTTCTTTCTTTCGCTAAGATGCAGTGTGAACTACTTGTCTTCAACTTTAGAGAATCAAATATATAAACTTGAAATTCTCAGATTTACATAGCCAAATTTTTAAATTTCTATACCTCTATTTTTTGTAAAGAAGTCTACGATACTAGTCATTGCATATTTTTTATATTTTCGCTATTCGCATATTATTGTCCACTATGTATATAAAGCGATAGCGTGGCAACACTGGTGGGAGATCTTTGAGCCGATTTAAAACTGCGCGAGAAAGGTTCGTTCTACCGTGACATAAAGTAGTAAAAGGAGTATAATGTAAAATAGGTTAAGATACGGTAAATGCATAAAAATCGAACATTTACAACATATTTTCTTCGTGCAATGTTTCTTAAAAAACAAATCTATCTTCTTCTAACGATAAAAAGTCTGCTCGCGAGATAATCGTTAGAAGAGCGCCGAAACATCGATAATCGATAGGTCCTATCAGCAATAGATACCGATGCAATAAATAAGATTAACAAATATAGAACGATGATACTATTAAAAAACTTGAGTGAGCAAGATGAATGGAAATAAATAAGAGGGTATGCCTGAAAATAAAAGGGTAGTCTCACCTATCATCCTCTTCCGTTCCAATATTTGACGCTACGACGGTTTGAGCGTTATTTTTGAAACTCTTCCTCGAAGGGAACAGCTTATCAAGCAAAGGCATCATAAACTAATGACAGCTCGTAACTACCGCATTGCTCGCTAACTTTGTTTCGTTTTCGGTCTATCATGTCACAAGGAACTGCACCATACATGTTCGCGAGTATCAGTCAACTGTAAATAAAGTCACGTGTGGAGGAGTCATATGATTGCCCGAGATTATCGTGTCTCTCGTTCGGCCAACATCGAATGGAATATTTTCTTTCTTCTTTCCTTTGTCCGCGCGATTCCTTGTTTTACTGTTCGACTAATAGAGAACCGGTTCGATGGAATGTCGATGAATTTTTTAAAAATGACAGGAAATAAAGGGAAATATGTACGAGATTCGTTAGACGGAGACAGTTTATTGACCGTGCACGGTGACTACTGTCCAAGTTACTGAACGCATCGCGAGAGTACGCTACGGTCAGTTTGCAACTACGCGTAATCGTTCTTGACGCGATTTCAAATGTTGAAAACGTGCTTTTCAAAATGAAATATACTCACTAATTATTAATTAAGACACTAAGAATGTGAGATGAACATAAAAATAATTTATTTCACAAATAAATTTAAGTCACTTCAATAATATTAAAAATTTTATTCGATTTACTTTTATAACATCAATAATAAAAATCGATATATCGATATGGTGTAACGGACAAAATGCGGAATAGCTAAGTATCGCACATGAAGTCTAATTTTTTTGCTTCTTCGTCATTAGGATCCCGACGTACAGGAACATCGGTATCCACATTTCTACGCATTTTACTAGCTAATATAAGACGGTGAACATATTCGGTATGTTTAATATCTTCTGAAGTATCAAATGCTTTTTTAACGTATGCTTTATTTGATACCGGCAGGTATACCGGAAATTCAATGTTGAACGTTATGATTAGGTCTCCTTTTTCCTTTGGATTTTCCGGAAATGGTAGTCCTTCACTGGGTACGTACTTTCGATAATTTGGCCTATTTGTGTATGATTAAATATTAAATTAATAAATAAAAGATACAATGTGATGGATACGACAAGAATCCATTTTGAAATTTTTAGTATATTATCGTTAAAAATTGAAAATATTTCAGCCATTTTGTCAAGAGATGTATAAAGATGAGCGTCGGTTATACATATATAGGGGAAACAGTGAAAGGAAATATGAAAAGGACCATATAAGTGGAACTGTTTCATACAGACATTGTAATATGCAAATTTACTGTGCATATAAAATTACACAGGATATTGACCTTGATGAAATACATTAAAATCACTGAGAACTATAAGTATACAACTGTAAGGTGTATCTCATTCAGTTACAATTAATATAAGAGTAGAAGTAAAATGATCAAAGTATGTATCAGTCAGATCAATAAAATTTATTTTTAGCGACGATTGCGAATGAGGTAACGCGGTGTTTTGTCAAGTGGACGAGGAAGAAAGGAAAGGATGGACAAGGTGACTAATGTGATAGGGAGACATACGTGATGACAGACGTTATCGGTATTCGAAGGGTTCTGTCGTCGAGGGTGTTGACGGTGACCACTGTTCCGGTCAGTGCCTCTCGCAGAAAGATATCGACCGTCATGTGCAAGTCAGAGCCCTCTCTTCGGAAGGTCTCGTGAGGCCGGTCCTCCGTGATGAAGATTACATCCGCTACGCTGACGTGCTTTCGACTGAGTAAAGACATTATGCGAACAACTACTACGATTAACCCATTTCTGTCCGGTACGAGATGTACGATGCATTTTAAACGCATCTTTCGCGAAATTTCAATCGATACCTGTTACGAACTTATGCGAAAAGGGAAATAGCTATCGTGAAATCTCTATCTTTAACCATGCATCGTACTGCGATATATATTTTTATATATTTATATAGATTTATTATATGCAAATATTGTACAAATCGGACAGAAATGCTTTTAAGTTAACCCTTCTTTGGATTATTGTCTGCAACTCTAAATAACTTTCTCGGTCCCTACATATCTGGATCCTTAGATCCATACTACTATATTCTTATATCTTTCAATAGTCTAGTAGACTAATATAATGCTAATTTAATGTAATAAAAGACTAATGTAATGCTTTCGATAGACTCTCCGAATAAGGGTTAATATTTCAATATCTTTTACAAGTTAACTGATGTAACAATTTACCAGGAATCTTCGTAGGTCCTTGATCGCCTTCTTCCGGGAATATAATCCTCGTTCCTGTCGGCATACCCGGTTTAATAGGTATCGTTAAAATTTTCTCTTTCGTCACCGTCGTAGATTTTTCATCCCCTACCAAAACTAATCGTTGTATTTTCATCTTTTTAATGCCTCCAAGAAGAACCTGCAGTTTAGTCGTATGAAGGTGATGATCGGAAAATAGGGATCGATCAAATTAATTTAACTAGGTGATACCAAGTAAAAATAAGTAAGTACAAGGTTTGCTGTAACGATCCCCGATGTTATCTACGGTGATTAACACCGAGAAAGAGAAACTATAAATAAAGTAAAACGTCGATATGGTACCTCCAGTAGGGTTAGATACAAGGTTTTTATCAGAGGCTCTTCCTTGCGTTTTAAACCCCGCCCCTCGGGAAATTCGAGCACGGAAGGAGGTTGTGTTAGTACATGGAACAGATCAGCATAAGGACTCTCCGTACCGAAGAATTCCCTGAAGGAATAGCGAAAATGGTACAGGTGTAGATAAATCGGGACTTAAATATTCTAACGGCAAGCGTTTAAGTGACTGTTAAGTTCAATCAGGTAAGAAGGTTTTAAGCCGACGTTTCGAATCGATTATTTATATCATAAAAGCTGAAGGAAAAATTGTTTAAAGGAGTACCTGTACGTTCTCATTGGTTCACCATGATAGATGTACGGTTGGATAAATCCTTCGACACCGGGCACGCCATTTTTAAGGCCTTCCTCGCCGAACTGATCGTATATGGCTCGTTTAAGAGGATCCGAAAGCACATCGTATGCTTCAGCCACCAACGAGAATATGGGCCACAAACTTTCATCCTTTGCCCGTATGGGATTGTATCGTATCGCCAAACGCCGAAATCTGAAACCCGATCGAAAGAATTCGCTTCAACGTTATTAACAATTGTCGAAGAAAGTTCCGAGATAAAATCTGAAAATTTGCAAGTCGCTGTAATTTAACAGAAACTACTACTCACGCTGCTTTTATCTCCAAATCGTCGCAATTTTTTTTTAGCGATAATACCCCATAATAATCTATACCGCGCAGACACGAACAGGGCTCTGTACACGACATGGCTTCAGAACGAAAAATCTAGTGCAATTACAAAATGTATTTACAGAAAAGTTGGAAGATGCTGGTAGAATTTCGTAATCGATCGTCTTTTATTTTTGAAATATGCGGCTAATATCATGGCTGTCGAAGGGAATAAAAGAAAGAACGTCGACGCATCGTTTCACGACGATTCTTCAAGTGTTTTCAACAACCAACGCGCCCCTTTCGACAACCAACTATTTACGATCGTGTGTTAGCATTTGCAATTATTAAACGTCTCTCGTGCCCGACATTTATTGTTGAGAACAGAAGGAGCATTTAATTGATGCTTATTGGTCGATCGTTCGAAACGACAGTTTGTCATGGACGCTTCCGAAATGATTTTAAATCTCGTGCACAAAGGTAAATCGTTTTCTTTGCTATTGTTGTTGCAATTTTTGCTCATTCGTAAAAATACGTATTGTTACGTAATTCATAGTACCACGATATTAGGATTAAACGATGTGATCCTTTAAGAAAGTTCGATTTTTTAAATATTTCGAGTATTGTATAATAAATATTATTTTTGTAGCTGTGATCAAGACGGAAATTAGCGAGAAAGATTCTAGCAGTAGCGAGCTTCTCTCTCGTCACGTAAATGATAAGTCACCGCAGGAAAATATTAAAAATTCCCACGAAAAATCCATAGAGGAGAAAGAAGAATCCAAAGAAGCAATGTTCAAGGTTTCCTTGGTGACCGATCAGGATTTGGTAAGCGATAAGGAGAACGTGTCAAGGAAGAAGATTCGAGTGGAGGCAAGGCAGATTTGCAGTAATCGAGAAAAAGGCGAGGACGAGAAAATCTTCGTGCTGCAGCAACTCGGTCGATCGCAGACACGTCCAGAAGGATTCCCGGCATTTCTGTGCATTGATGGCAGGATTGCTGATTCAAACGGAGTTAAACGGAAAATCCCGAGACCAGCGAACGCCTTTATGCTCTTCGCCAACGAGTGGCGCAAGAAGTTGGCTGCTGAGAATCCTCGGGAGTCCAATAAGGATATCAGCGTTAGGTTAATTTCTTTTCCCTTTTAAACTGGAATTAGCATTGACATAAATCTCGCTACTTCTTCTACTCCGTCTATTAACAATTTAAATAATTAAACGCAATCTGAAACTTTTAAAATATATTTTCATATTCTTAAATAGTTTAAGTTTAGTCATTAATTTTATAGTCGTCTTAAGCTCATACAGGTTGCTACACATCCTCCTGTATATTATCATGTAATCATAATAAGCTTCATACTAATTTTGTACGTTTATGCGCAGATTGGGTATACTTTGGAAGAACATGGCAAAGGAGGTGAAGGAAAAATACTTTGCACTGGCCCGGGAAGTGGACGCGGAGCACAAGAGGAAGTATCCCGGTATGCTCTATGCCTATAGGCTCTCTTCAAACCGATATGACCTCGTTTTCGCGTTTGTAGCGGCTCGTCGAAGTTTACCGATGCGACTGAACGTTCGTGGCGAGCGTTCGGTAGGTACACGATAGCCTGTTGTATCCTCGTAAACAGAAAAGGGGATAGCCTCATAGATATAGCCACGAATTATTTCAATCCTTCTTCTACTTACTATCTTTCTATATCACTTGTCGAATACTAATGGAAACTTTCAATGGCATTATACGCCATTCAGCTTCTACGTTCTCCTAATTGTCATAGATACACTCTTAAATGTATTTATTCTGTTAATGTATTTTTTATTTAGTTACAATGTTACGAACTGTAATGTTATGAATTGTAATGCTATGAATTGTAATGCTATGAATAGTCAGTAGGTGCAAATGTATTTTTAGGAAAGATATGTTACACGTTATGAACTGTAATGTTATGAATTGTGTTATGATAGTCAGTAGATGCAAATGCATTTTTAGGAAAGATATGTTACACGATTATGTTCAATACTTTTAAAGAAGTATGATAGGAGTAAAAAGTTAAGGGAAGTCGATGAGGAGGATCGATAGGAAAGAGTCAAAAGATATTGCAATGGGTCCGCGGTTGTAACCCGTGAAGGACATTTAGTCGCGTGAATGCTCAGCTACGCGGGATATGTGAGGAATAATCGCACTTGTCGGTGGGTGTAGGTAGTAGGTAGTAGGTAGTAGGTAGGTAGGTAGGAGCGCGGTCGTGTATCGGGCAGGTTCCTAGAGTCGCGTCGCAATCAATACCTCCGGTCTCTACTGTTCCCTCCCGCGCGTTCCCCGTCACTCACCCGAGAATATTTCTCCGCTTGCCACCCTGTACCCTGTACCTCGACCCGCAAAACTCGTATCGCTCTGCCCGTTCCACCCGCAAATCGACGAGCTATAATCGCATTTTAACTTCCCCTTCTCCGCGATCGCTCGATCCCTTCCATTGGCTAATCACAGAATTCAGGACGAACAGATAAAAAAACGCGAGAAGATTAAATCATTGACAAAGGATTACTCAGTAGGCCTCCAAATACGTAACTTTATCGGCTGTTTTTTCTTTCATTTTATGTCACAAAATATTATACCGTAATTGTCAAACTTACCACATATTGTCTTAAACTGATCGAACTTCTGTCTGTTGATGTTCTGTTCAATTGCTAATGTTTCGAACTGGAAACGTGTAAACGTAATTGGTTCTCCATTTAATCAGGTTTCTATGCTCCAGTGTATCTTGTTTTGATTAAACAAATTGAGGGACGTTAGATCGCTGTCGTAGGTTGGGAATATTGCGCGTGTTCAAGTATTATAATTGTTGTAATTAATGGCAAATAATCCATGAATACCGTAGATGAACCGATACACCGAGCGCAAATAGTAATTGCATATTAGACGGATCGATCGTTCGAGCCAATATCTATTCCGCTCTTAACATAATCGCATTCGCTTTCCTATTACCATGTTTCCAGGGACGAAATTAAGGGATAACTTTATTAAGATGATTGTATCACAACAGTTAAACTCAGAAATGACTATGTTACTAAATTATCATTTTTGTTAAGGACATTTTTAATATATTTCTTAACTTTATTCAGATGATTGTATCACAACAGCTAAACTTACAAATGACAATGTTACTGACAATGTTAAATTATTATTTTTTATTGTGAAGGTCCGTTTTAATATAATTCTGATTCAAAGTAAAGTGCTAACAAAATAAGCAAACACTTATATTTCTCTTTCAGTTAACATTTTGTATGACAACTAATTTGCGAGGAACGCATCAAATTAACAAACTGTTTGAAAATTTTTAAGCTCCCAGAAGCGCGTATTAACAAAACGAACATAATCCTGGAACATTAACCGACAAAGTTAGGATCTGAAGTTTGAAATGGAAAGTGAGAGCAGAGATGAATAACGCTACGGAACACAGATGCTAGAGGGGAAGTGCAATTAGGAGTATCAAAGGAACAACGGTGCAATTGAAAATAATTACATCATTCAAACGTTGACCTTGTCAACCAACGATATAACAATATTCAGTAAATGAATTCACCTTTAGCGTTTGTTTCGAGTGCATCAAGGCTCCCTGCATAGACTACATGCGCAAAGTGTTTCTGAATGAAAGCGTTGCAACGTGGAACCGAATATAAAATACAACTTTAAACGAACAACTCTCAAAAAAGTGGAACAAGAAATTTCCTATGAACGTCTACGATTCAAGAAAGTTTGCTCAGCTGTGGTATTTTTATCAGATAAAAAACAGTGTGCATACTTGAAAATGTGGGGGAAGGATTAATATACTTCAAGTTTATTGCGTGTCGATTGAAATTGTAGGAAATTCAAAATTGACAAAGAATACCGAAGGTAAACGTATACAAATTTTTTGAGTTAAAAATTTAACGAAAGTAACGTTGTAAAAATTTTCAGGTTTACATCCGCGAAGATCGAAGGTGAACAACAGTGGAGAAAGAGTAAATGATGAGGCGTTCCGGGTAAACGTTTCAGCGACGGCGATATCCAGCTGGAAGCTAAAAGTTCGGAAGGGGTGCAAAGATCCGGGCTAAATTCCCCACTAAACGGTAGCCGCGCAATCGACGGCGGGTTTGGTCGGCTGGAGCAAGCCGAGTGGTCAATTAAGATCTCCGGAAAGTGTCGATATGCCCTGCGCGAGCGTTCTCGAACGCGCGGAACGGATTCGCGTGCATCTGCGCGACTGCATCGCACGCGTGACGAGGAAAAGAGGGGTGACGCACGGTCGCGCCAAGGGAAGCCGTCAAAATGTCGAGGCTGGTGCATCCAGCAGGCACGCCGAGCCGAAGATACGCGGGGGAGGAGCCTCTCCCTCTATTTCTCTGCTCTCTGTAACGATCGCCGGTCATCGATCCGCTATCGCATCAACGCGATGCTCGAGGAAACCAGCCACATCGACGCGCTTCGCGTCTGCGAACGTCACGCGGTTTCTACTCCCCGGAGTAGCCTGTTTTATACGTTGCATCACAGTTACAACCCTTTTAATTTTATACGCGATTATATACTCGTACAAGCATCTATTCAATTCTTTTAATTTATTAGATCGTTAAGTACATTTGACGGAACAGGAAATCAATTTTCTTCTTGGAAATCTTTTTGGAGAATTATCATGTCACTTCAAGACTTCTGTTAAGAACTGAACAATTTTCACGCTAGATTTAAATTTTGAGGGTGATGGAAAGTTTTCAACCCCCGTAGCTTTGCCATGGCGATTCACGATATGAGGTCAAGGATTGATTCGGAATAGAACCAAATCAATTTTTCTGTTTGAACAAATTGCTCATTGTGGGCCAACTTTGACACTATTTCATTTTGCTACAAAAATCAGTCAACTCATAAATTTGTGGCACTGAAATTTGGCGCCAAATAGGAGATGAATGTTAGAGTTTCTATATTTGTCAAGTTTCATAACGACCTACTATAACCTTGACATGATACACTATAGTACACGTGTACTCTATGGAAACTTAACCCTTGTAGGCAGGGTGTACTTATCGTCATCCAGTTAAGTTAGCCTGATAAATTCAAGTATAGACAAATATTTTTCAAACTTTATTATTTTTGTTATTGCAAATTGCTAAATATGAAAATTAAAAAATTGTAGATCTTGTCAGCTGTGCTTCGTGAGTTGTCGATCATCAACGAATGGTATATCAAATATAACAGCGCGTCAGGATCAGCGTCGGTTGAATATAAGCACCGGCAATTCGAAGAGAGATCCTCCGAAGAGGATCAAGAAAAGGAAGCAACGACGAATCGATAGGCGACAAAGGGGTTCTTTTATACACTTGGCGCAGCCGAGACGGAGAGCCAGAGAACTTTCGCTTCCTCGTGGCTCGCTCCAGGGTGGGGAATCCCACCCTCTTGGTTGAAACCCTCCCTTCGTACTCCGTCGGATTCGTCGATGACGAAACGCACGTAAATTCGCGGAGGTTCGTGCACGGTGCTGCCGCTTGGCGAAATCAGTGCGACCCAAGTGCACCGCGAGGCAGGAACGCGGGTCTCCCGTGCGCGGCCTGTCGTTCCCGCTTGCGGCACGCGCCTCTCATCCAGACGAGCATCGCTTGTCAGATAGCGAGAGACGCTCGGCGTAAATAGGTCGCTGGATGCGCGCACCAGGTGCTCGAGTAAATAGCCGACTCGGAGCGGAGTGTTTGGCCTGTCGAGGATGTGACAATACCTTCGATGGCACGATGATTCTGCGAGTGATTCGTGACGCGAGGAATTAAATATCACAGCAGTGTGAATTAGCACAGATCCGTTTGTCCAGACCGTCGATCTCGATCGAAATTACGAAATCATGTGAAGCAAGAAAGAGATAATCGTGCATGGAAGAGGCAAAAGTTTGTCGGAGGACAGAGGCAAACAGTCGGTATCGATTGCCGAGCGTTTTCGCGATGCGTGGCGGCCGAACGGATTAGAAGAGAAAAAAAACGAGAGCGGCAGGTGTTGAAAGAGGAGAAAAAGCTTCGAGCATCGATCTTGCGCCCGGTGCAGTTACCATGACGCGGGGAGATGAATGTTAGAGTTTCTATATTTGTCAAGTTTCATAACGACCTACTATAACCTTGACATGATACACTATAGTACACGTGTACTCTATGGAAACTTAACCCTTGTAGGCAGGGTGTACTTATCGTCATCCAGTTAAGTTAGCCTGATAAATTCAAGTATAGACAAATATTTTTCAAACTTTATTATTTTTGTTATTGCAAATTGCTAAATATGAAAATTAAAAAATTGTAGATCTTGTCAGCTGTGCTTCGTGAGTTGTCGATCATCAACGAATGGTATATCAAATATAACAGCGCGTCAGGATCAGCGTCGGTTGAATATAAGCACCGGCAATTCGAAGAGAGATCCTCCGAAGAGGATCAAGAAAAGGAAGCAACGACGAATCGATAGGCGACAAAGGGGTTCTTTTATACACTTGGCGCAGCCGAGACGGAGAGCCAGAGAACTTTCGCTTCCTCGTGGCTCGCTCCAGGGTGGGGAATCCCACCCTCTTGGTTGAAACCCTCCCTTCGTACTCCGTCGGATTCGTCGATGACGAAACGCACGTAAATTCGCGGAGGTTCGTGCACGGTGCTGCCGCTTGGCGAAATCAGTGCGACCCAAGTGCACCGCGAGGCAGGAACGCGGGTCTCCCGTGCGCGGCCTGTCGTTCCCGCTTGCGGCACGCGCCTCTCATCCAGACGAGCATCGCTTGTCAGATAGCGAGAGACGCTCGGCGTAAATAGGTCGCTGGATGCGCGCACCAGGTGCTCGAGTAAATAGCCGACTCGGAGCGGAGTGTTTGGCCTGTCGAGGATGTGACAATACCTTCGATGGCACGATGATTCTGCGAGTGATTCGTGACGCGAGGAATTAAATATCACAGCAGTGTGAATTAGCACAGATCCGTTTGTCCAGACCGTCGATCTCGATCGAAATTACGAAATCATGTGAAGCAAGAAAGAGATAATCGTGCATGGAAGAGGCAAAAGTTTGTCGGAGGACAGAGGCAAACAGTCGGTATCGATTGCCGAGCGTTTTCGCGATGCGTGGCGGCCGAACGGATTAGAAGAGAAAAAAAACGAGAGCGGCAGGTGTTGAAAGAGGAGAAAAAGCTTCGAGCATCGATCTTGCGCCCGGTGCAGTTACCATGACGCGGCGGCTCGTCCGACACGTCGAACCGTATCCACTTGGGGATCGTCGGCTCTCGGGAGGAGATCGACGGGCCTACAGTTAGTAGGCTGTTCCGGGTCTCGGATTAACGGAGCGGTTCACGATGACGAACACGAGGACAACGTCTGCGGGGATGACGCGGACGATGGGTCTTCCCGACGGAATGCAGGAGGCCGATCGAACGCCTCCCGATACACCCTCCTGTTACGTGGTGCTCCCGCGTAAACTTGCCTCTGTGACGTGTTCGATACAGTAGCAACGAGGATAACCGCGAATCGAAGGGGCCAATTTGATTAATCGGGATAAAGACAGAAAGTTTGTATTTGCGCGCGAACGTGACCCCGATAAATGCAAGAAGTCGTTACTCGCGATAACGGAGCCAACTCTTAGCAAAGATGGACTGCTGTAACTACGTCGAGGCTTACACGGGAGGGGGACACTTTTATCAACAGCAACACTATTTCTGCTACGATAACGCGAATACCGAGTACGCCGGATACGATACGCCTCCGATTTCGAACGCGATCGAAACTACCGCGCGGTACAACGGGACGATACCACCTGCCTACCCCACAGGTACGACGTACCCTCGCGTTATCCTCTCCCATATCTTTGATTCACAATATCACTTTTTTGCGTATGTCTCTTTTGGTGCAAAAGTAGCGATTTTTTATTTTACTCATACGAACTAGAAGATAAGCTTTGTTATTTTAAATATTTTGTAGCCCTAAACTGTAGGTCGGTTTTGCGATACTCTTACTTGATAACTTGGGCTTGATAACTAAAGCGAAATGTAAAAATAGGGACTCACACAGTTAGTAGTTTTAGTTAATTTGTCTATTTTTGTATAAACTTGTATCATATAATAGAACATATATGTATGTTAAACAAATGTCTACGTATATCACTATATTTTTGTTAAAAAGAAAAGAGATATGTAGGTACGCTGTTCATAAGCACTTTACTTTTCTCTTAATAGTTTGCATTTTGTGTCAATTAACGGTAAAGGTAGATGAATCGGAAATTGGTGGCTGTTATCTCTTTGCGCCGCTAGCTTCTTAAATGCACCGAAGATAAGAGTATGAGAGCGTGAAATGGGTTGTGAAAATTTCGATTAAGAAATACGGGCAATTATCGAGGGTAATTTCAAAGTGTGTCGATTATATCACTGTAAATATAAGCTTCAAATGTACGCTGTCGAGGAACAAAATGATCGTATATACTTTATTCTCAGTGTATTAGTTCTATGAATGGTTAAAATTCGCAGTTATTTTTGCACCAACTGTTATCCTGTCACAGTTGAACCGCTTAGTAGTGTGCGATAAGCGGTACAAATCAAATTTGTCACTTATTTTTCATGCGATACGAGCATCATAATTCTGTTGCGTTCCATATTTCATGCAATGTCACCATTTTTAAACGTGATTTGTTATCGGTATTTACAGAAGCATTTTTGCAATTTATTTGCACTATAATCATGATCGTAACGGTGATCATTTTGATCCTCATAACGACACTGATGCAAAAGATCATAGTTTAATATTAAAACTGTTAAACATTTTGAAAGTGTCATAGGTAAAAGCATCATTCAGTCGATATCTCGTTATATATCAGCTCTACGACAAAAATAGTTATTTCGTAATTTATAGCTTGGGAAATTCTCTACAAAAAGGATTCTATGAGTTATTTTCGTGGGAGTAGCCATTTTCATGTGAGATGGCCTTTTGTCTGTCCTTGTCAGATCAATCTGACCTTGTCAGATCAAGGTTGAAAACTTTTGAACTATAACGAAAACGGTCACTTCCACAAAAAAATGTATAAATCATTTTTTATAGAGAATTTCCTAAGCTACAAATTCGATAATAATCATTTTTCTCGTAGGACTGATAAATAACGAGATATTCATGAAAAGATCTTTTTCATCAGATCAAGGTTGAAAACTATTTATAACGAAAACGGTCACTTCCACAAAAAAATTTATAAACCATTTTTTATAGAGAATTTCTTAAGCTACAAATTCGATAATAATCATTTTTCTCGTAGGACTGATAAATAACGAGATATTCCTGAAAAGATTTCTTTCGTCTTCGACCTTCATAAGATCGTCCAAAGATGTTGCGTCTTCTTTCAACTTTGAAATATGTTTCCAAACTATTAATCCATATAAAAATAGTTTGCTATACTACAAATTTTCCCTTCGAATAAAACATTTACCTGTTCTGCAGATTACGTGTACAACCCAAAAGAGGCGAGGCTGCGGAAGGCGATGCGCGAACAGAATCGCGAGCTGTCCCGACGATCGATCTTGCAGAGTGCGATCGCCAGAGCCGGTGTAATCTCTGGTCCAGTCACCTCTGGTTTCCTGGATCACCAGCACCGTTTCGGATGCGTGTCCTCTGCGGGTTTGCCGATTAATTCGACGGTGGAGTCTGATCGAGTACCGGAGCCGTGGTTCCAGTCGAACTCACGACCGAAACCCATCCACTCGCCGCGAATGAACGACTGGTATGGCAACGTTGGCGATCCGATCGAAAGACTGCAAGTTATGGGCACCATGCACCACCGTGGACCCGACAAATGCAAAGACGTGATGAGAAATCAAGCTGTGGCTAGCGCCTCGGCCGCGGAATGCGGTGCCGCGTTCTCCAACAACGCCTATGCTGTTGACTTCAGCGACGTTAACAGGGAACGGGGGATACGTCGACAGGAAAATATTCCGGACTATGCTGAATTCAGCGATGGACAGAAATGGCATCCCTATCAGGTCTGAAGAAGTTCGGCAATTTGGAATTTTTGCATTTGTGAAGCCTCAAACTTTCAAATTTTAAAATCTTCATAAGTCTTCAAGTTCTAAAATCTTCATAAATCTTGAAGTTCTAAAATCTTCATAAGTCTTCAAGTTCTAAAATTTTCATAAATCTTCAAGTTCTAAAATCTTCATAAGTCTTCAAGTTCTAAAATCTTCATAAGTCTTCAAGTTCTAAAATCTTCATGAATCATCAAGTTATAAAATCTTCAGATCTTCCATCACAAAATTGCAAATTTGAATCTTCAACAATTAAACCACCCTCCTGATTCACTTTGTATTTGAAGATAATGCAATTGACATTATACACTATCATTACAGAACGGCGGAGGTGGCCATCAGCATCACAGAGCGCCTCACCCCTCCCAAATGGGTGGCATCATTCACCCAAACGTGCAGAACTTAAGTTCCCACGAACACGGACCGTGGAATCAGTTTTGTCACGGTGTAATACCGCGTAAGTGTTTTAAAAATATCATAGTAAGAGACCAGGAGTTAATATTATATTTTTGCAGATGGCCCGCCTATGCCTAGAAACATTGGAGTCCGTGGACCACGGCATACCGTGCTGCTACGAGACCGCCTACCTGCTAGACACTGCGAATTTCCTGAGGAAACGTCACGGTTAACTTATAATACCAATAAACTTAACGTAGAGAGCATACGAGCGTCTTACTCTCCTCCTCAGCACCAGGTCTCTTATTTCATCTTATATGTACATGTGACTGTAAACGCTCAATGTTGGAAAATGTTAGGCATAGTGTAATAGTGTTTCTTAAATTCTATATATTGTCCATTAGATGCCAAGATTGATCGAATCGTCGGTGGATTCTGTTATGGACTCCTCCACATCGAGAATCCGTCGCGAGGACGAAGGACCTAGGTGGGAGCAGAACCCCATCAACAATGGAATGTCCATGGACAACCTCGCACCCGCTGCGGTAAGACATTCTGCTATATTAATCCAAAGGACCGTGTCATAAGAATAAATTCCTAAATTTCCAAATTCTCATACTCTCTGACCGTCTAAACATCTAAACACCTAAACTCTACGCCCTCAGGAATCGAGCGCACCCCGCGAAAAGGAGCGCGAGTCCCGAAGGTCCGCAGAGCGCTTCGAGCCGAAGAAGAAGACTGTAAGCAAGCAACCGTTACCCGGTTTCCATCAGGCGTTCGGGTCGACGGAAATCGGAAGGTTTTCCCGTTCAGAGTTCTTCGTGAACATGGTGGGCGAGAGTGGCGGCAACGTGGAGGTAGCTGACACGGAAAACAGCAACGTAAGTACAGATCGTATGTCAGAGGTAAACGGAGCTGCAGTCACCGCGTCGCGTGATACGTCTGCGATTACCACGACCGCAACGACGACAGTGAGAACTTTCGACGCCGAAGACAGCGAAGACACCAGCTTGGACGGCTCTAGCAACGAGCTCGTCGCGACGACTTCGATCGGCATGTACTGCGGACAACCGAGCACCCCTCGTTGGCACAGTCCTCACGTGGGCGCCATAGGTAGCGAAATTTAAGCGGATCGTTAATCCTTCTAAAGACTTTGGAGCATTTACTTCTGCTGTAAGTCAAATGGCGTCTTCTTACCAACTGCCAAACCAGTGCATTTTTGTGCGGGCCTATCAGGTCCTGTCTTTCCTAATTTCGTATACTTTTGTGTTTATGAAACTTCCGAGTGTGAACGAGTGTGTTTGAAAAATGGCACTGTGGGCAGAAAATGTTGTCAGCCTTCTTCTCTTTTCACGTTGTACAAAAAGAGGAAGACTGACAGTGAAACATATTCCCTCTGCTTCATCGTATGCTTACTTTAGAAGTATGTGCTCGAAGTTACAGACTGTTAAGATATTAATTTGGGAAGGTTGTCAAGCAGTGTCTGCTTCTCAGGGCTGTAATACAAGTAACTTCGTCAAAAGACAACTTGTATTTCAACCTTGAGACACAGTTTAAAACCTTGAGACTGTTTACAACCTTCGCTACGAGTTATTGTAATTTGAAGACACTTATGTAGCGTAAATTTTTCTTATCGAAGACTGTTATAGGGTTTTGATTTTGTAGAAATGAATAGCCGGCGAAAGGGATTAATGATGCGATATGGACGCAGATTTCGTCCACTTGTCTTTAGGATTAAATTATTCCCTCCGATTTGGAATGGTCCGATAAGGTTTCGTACTTGACGAGAGCCAACGTTGAATCTCTAGTTGATGAATTTCCGTTTAAATTTATTTGCTGGCCGAGGTCTCCAATCTTTGTACAAAAATTATTTCACGGACTTTGAACGATCGGAGGTTGCGAATGGCGTACGAAACGTCGAGATTGTGCCTTTAATACGACGGAGATATCAAAGGTCTTTGAAATTTCTGGTCGAATCAAAAAGATAAAAAGAAATCAAAACAGCACGATATTCGCGGGTCTCGTACGTCAAACGTCAGGTCGAGCAATCCACATGAGTTATAATTCTTGACAAAATGTTTAAAGTAATTTAAAAAAGAATAATTGTGTAAATATTTACGAACGGTAAAAATTTATCGTTAGGGGAGATAGAGGTAAGATGGGAAAATAAATGTAACTTAGTGTAAGTTATTCTAAAAACTACTTTGTCAAATTGTACCCATAAACAGAAGCAAATTCTGCGTTACCAACAGAAATAACCATCTTAGCTCGACCTCTCCGCTGCTCATCCGTCGGTATATTTTCTGTCGTGCAGAATATATTCAATAATCTGTGGGTTGCTCGTACTTGGTCGAAAATATAATCAAAATGTGTCGATAATCGTATTTAATCGGCACCTTCCAACAAGTTGTTAAATATCGTCGATGATACACGAAGGTGTACCGGCGATGAATTATATGAATATATTAAATATATATTTAAAGAAGTATATATATACATACATATATATATATATATTGTACTTATATGTATAATGGAGGAACGAAAACGCGCGACGAAGAGGTACATAAGTTATTTAGTAGATTATTTAGGCGACACGTATTGCCGCGCGGAGAAACGTATAAATAAAAGTGGACATAAATTGCGAACGTAGAAAGTCGAGAAACCTGAGAACACTTTTGCTCTTATATGTTGAAGGGTTGATGCATGGATTTTTTATTTTGCATTCAGAACTCGTTTACCTTTCAAATCTTTCGACGTACATCTATAAATTTAAGACGGTAGAGTAAGATAGCACGAGTAAAATAATGAATTGTGGCGGTTCAAGTAGTATTTCAATCTTTTATATCCATTTTAACGTTTAATAATCTATTTACAGAAACTTTGGGACCTTTTAAAATAGTGACAAATGTTTTTTAGAATTGCTAGCATGTTAAGAATTGCGATCATTTAAGGGATTCGATTCTGTTCAAAATTCGTTTCATTAATCAGAATTCGAGTTTATCAAAATGTTACGAATAAGAGTTAATGCTCTTTTCACGTTCTGTTTGATCGAGTTCTGAATCCCGTGCAGGCACCACTGACTTTTATCGAGCGATCTATCGGTACATCGACTTGACATAATTCGTGCCAGCTACCCTGTACCTATTATGGGACCAAATTATAAAAGAAAAGCTTTTATTTCGCGTTCACCGTCGCGCTTACGTCCCACGTATTATCGGGTTTGAAAAGAACGGTAACCGTTCGCTAAATACTCGGCAGGGGCTGTAACCGTTGTGTTGCCACTACGCGATGTAATTCCACGCGTCTGTACATTGTAACTCTGCGCATTCCAACGTTACGTGTTGTAATTCTGTGCATTGTAACGCGTTGCAATTCCATGTAATTCTACGCAGCGAAATTGTACGAATTATGACCACCGTATTAGTGACTCAAATATCCTGCGTGGCAATATAATGGAAGTCAACGATGCAACTGTTCACTAAATACTCGCGACAGGGGCTGTAACCGTTGTATTGCCACGCTTCTGCGCGATGTAATTCTGTACATTGTAACTCTGCGTATTCCAACGTTACGTGTTGTAATTCTGCGCATTGTAACGCGTTGCAATTCCATGTAATTCTACGCAGCGAAATTGTACGAATTATGACCACCGTATTAGTGACTCAAATATCCTGCGTGGCAATATAATGGAAGTCAACGATGCAACTGTTCACTAAATACTCGCGACAGGGGCTGTAACCGTTGTATTGCCACGCTTCTGCGCGATGTAATTCTGTACATTGTAACTCTGCGTATTCCAACGTTACGTGTTGTAATTCTGCGCATTGTAACGCGTTGCAATTCCATGTAATTCTACGCAGCGAAATTGTACGAATCATGACCACCGTATTAGTGACTCAAATATCCTGCGTGGCAATATAATGGAAGTCAACGATGCAACTGTTCACTAAATACTCGCGACAGGGGCTGTAACCGTTGTATTGCCACGCTTCTGCGCGATGTAATTCTGTACATTGTAACTCTACGTATTCCAACGTTACGTGTTGTAATTCTGCGCATTGTAACGCGTTGCAATTCCATGTAATTCTACGCAGCGAAATTGTACGAATCATGACCACCGTATTAGTGACTCAAATATCCTGCGTGGCAATATAATGGAAGTCAACGATGCAACTGTTCACTAAATACTCGCGACAGGGGCTGTAACCGTTGTATTGCCACGCTTCTGCGCGATGTAATTCTGTACATTGTAACTCTGCGTATTCCAACGTTACGTGTAATTCTGTGCATTGCATCGCGACTGAATTCCATATAATTCCACGCACCGAAATTGTACGAGTCATGACTCATCGACCACCGTATTACCGACTATATCCGTGGCAATATAACGGGAGTCTAGCGTCCAGACATTTAGCGACTCCAGCGTTGATTTAGCGAACGGTTACTCTCGCACTGTCCGCTCGTTTGTTCGAAACAAGAACTTGAAATTTTTCATCTAAAGTAACGATTTTATAATTTGAACTGGTCACAGATTTTACAAGGTTCTTTTAATTGTCCTGTAATTCGACAGTGAAGATTTAAAAAACGTTTCAATGTGAAAAAGAACGAGTACCGTTTGATCGAGCGGACGGTCAACTTGAATCGTTGAAGATCGTTGTTCAAGATAGTCCAGAAAAGTAGAACTTCTCTGCGGAATAATTGTCAAACTGTATCTTTAGTCACTTTAAAAATATGTCAATGTGATTCTGACTAAAATTTGAACAGGAATCACATTCACAATATTTATGAAATATTATTTAAAGTTAGCGAAGAACAAAGATACTTGAGAATTATGATTGGCCATATTTTTGTCTAACTTCTCTGGACTAAGAGGAAACAACGGATAATTAGGAACAGTTCGAGCTTTTTTTTCTCTTGGATGAACGAACGTCCGGGAAGTATGAAATGATGTAAATGCTGTGATTTGTTTTAACATTAAACGATGTAGTTATAGTATTTAACAGGCGTGAGAACGTCGAATGTCGCGGCGTCGAAAGACGAGTTGTGATAGGAACTGCATAAATCTTAGAATCGTTGCTTTAACTTTTGGATTGTTGATAAGAGCACAAATACCTTGTGGTCCATCAGAATGATTCGAGAACAGAAATTCTAAATTATATTGGTATCAAAAATAATTTCCTAACACAAGAGTTTTATTAATCTAAGTTCAACGTTGTATAATTATTTGTGAAATGGACCAAAACGAAAATGTTTCGTCGATGATCCAAAACTGAAAGCAACAGAAATTCCGTTGAATTGTAACCAAGCCAGTTTCGTCTCGTAAAACTCGGATCCTATAAGGAGATTTTTAGCGATGCGTTAATTACTTGAAATTTTAATAATTTTGTTACTTTATCGATCTGTCTCGTTGGCGATGCGGATTGTAACATAGAAATTAACCATGTCTAACGATTAAGAAAACGCCGTAATCTACGTTTTATTATCGGCGACGATATTAAGTGTAGAGCTATAGTTGTAAAAGTGTGAATCAGAAACGAGAACAGAGGTACAGTGTCGTACAACGGCGAAACTTATAACGTATTGATAACACGTAATCGTCTTTCTGTCTAATTATTAGCAATCTATTCACTCTAATCGTTAGTAAACGCGTTAAGGAAGCGAATGTGTATAGAAAACGAGAAACGATTACGAACCATTGTACATCTTTTAATCCTGCAAGTGCCAACGTTGGTGAGAAAAAAGTCCTTAACAAAGGCTCGTGTTATTGTATCGAATTCCATCAAATTTCGCGACTGCCTTGACTCTATTCATTTTCGCAAGCAAAATGTATTTACAACAAAATGTATTTACAGCAAAATGTACAGTAGAGTAAGGAAAATGGCGGCGGAAGACCCTTGTTTGGTGACCCACTACTAAATTTGCCGTTGAAGAAATTTGCAGATTAAAAAAATCAGAAGGAAAAAGTCAGAAGAAATTTGTAAATTAATTTATAAATTTGAAGATGTCAAATTGTTATAATTAGGGAATTTGTAACTTGTGAACAAGGAGATCCTGCACTTCCAAACCTACGACTGTACATTTACATCCAAATTGTATTCTGCAAAATGTACAGTAGAGTAAGGAAAATGGCGGCGGAAGACCCTTGTTTGGTGTCCATTACTAAATTTGACGTTGGAGAAATTTGGGGATTTGCAGATTAAAAGTCAGAAGAAATTTGTAAATTAATTTATAAATTTAAGATGTCAAATTATTATAATTATGGAGTTTGTAACTTGTGAACAAGGAGCAGTTCCCTGCACTTCCAAACAACTGTACATTTACATCCAAATTGTTTTAGGTAAAAGAACAAGACAAAGAAAGTTGATAGAGTTAACGCAGCAGAATTTAAAGATTTTCATTCTTACGTGTACATTGATACAGTAGAACTTCTACGATAGAGACCAAAATTAATTATAACGATTGATTTCGTTCTGAATGCATAATTCTTAACACGGGGGTTCTACTGTATTGTTGAGCATAAATTCCTCAGACGATCAATATACATTATGAGTACTTCATTTATTAACAAAGCTTCCTATTTGACCTATTTGTCAATAATCATTTATCGTAGATCGTTCATGCTATATGTTGATCGTTCGAGGGCAATTCACGTTATCAGTTTGATGGAGCGAAATTTAACGACACTCGAGAAAAGAGAAAAACGCAAAAAAAAAAACGAAAATGTTTAAACGAAAATAAACCGATGTCTATACGACAGTAAAGGCGGAGAGAAAAGAAGGAGATAAAATTGAAGTCTTGTCTTATTTTCTTCAGTTACACCCGAAGACCTACCTCTCCACACCAGTTATTTTTCCCTTCTCACCGAGATCCTGCGGAATCCTTGGAGCCTCGACTGCCATTCACAGGATCGCGGAAAACGGTGAGATTCTTTCAAGAATCATCCCTGATGATTGCTGCTGGTTTGCTGCTAGATCCAGGTGCGGAGTTTCTAGGATTTCCGATAATGTTGTGGTAAGAATTCGGTGACATTTTTCTCTGAAATTCAAATTGTAGAATTTTCATGAACAATGTAATTTTGCAATATAATGGAAATTATAGAATTATAGAATTTTAAAGAACAATATAATTCTACAATATAATGTAAATGATAGAATTATAGAATTTTTAATGAACAATATAATTTTACAATATAATGGAAATGATAGAATTATAGAATTTTTAATGAACAATATAATTTTACAATATAATGTGAATTATAGAATTGTGGAACTTTCAATGAACAATATAATTTTACAATATAATGTAAATTATAGAATTGTAGAATTTTCATGAACAATATAATTCTACAATATAATATAAATTATAGAATTGTGGAACTTTCAATGAACAATATAATTTTACAATATAATGTAAATTATAGAATTATAGAATTTTCTATGAACAATATAATTTACAATATAATATAAATTATAGAATTGTAAAACTTTCATTAACAATATAATTCTATGTCAAACGTTATCTCATAGTCAAACGTTAAATCTGTTATATCATTGAAGCCTAACCGCAGTCGCAACTCGTCCGCCATTACATCAATTTCTATCTTTCCTACAGTTGATGGCAATATAAGAATCAATTATATCAAATTTATTTATTGATCACTTAATTTCATAACTTCAAAAATATTACCATACTAAAAATTTGTAGAATTGCACATTTTTGGACTACTCCCGTCACTCAGGAGAGAAAGAATGGTTCTACCAGAAGAACATGCTGAATCCGTCGGAGCTGCGTCGAGATAACTACGAGTCCAACGAACAAAACGATGGAAAGTACATAGTGATCGGTACATCAAGCAATAATAATCGAAACATTCCTAGTTTGTATAATGATGAAGAACCTTGTAAACCGGCTGTAAAAGTTGAACAGGATGACTCCTCGAAATCACCGAAGCAGGACGGAGATAACTGATTAAAGAAACTACGAAAATTGCTTTAAACATATTCTAAACTTATGTAGAAAGTAATGCTGAAGTTTAAATAATCTTAGTATAGATAAGTTATTCGAATAATTAATAATTTCTTAATACATTTATGTCTGATATTGTAACATTCTTTTCTATATGTTTTACTGTAGTTTGCAAGATACGTTCATTATGACATGTACATGCTTTCAGTTTGTTTAAAAAATACATTTGTACGTTCTACTTATACAGAATTTTAAGAATTAACTCCTGTATGTATATGTACGTTCTAATGGTCTATGGAACAATGTTGTTCAATGTAAAAATTAACTCCTATATGTATATGTACGTTCTAATGGCCCATGCAGCATTTTAAAAATCAACTCCTATACAATTAAACTCAAATTTTTGTTCCTAAAAGAATGTAAGATCAAAGAAAAGAACGTAAAGTGATGACCCAACATCCGAAGATACAAGTTGAGCGATGTCCGACCATCAATAAATGGAATTAATCGCTTCCGTTTCTGTGTAAGGATCCCACCGGTAGAATGCAATTTGTAAATAAAGGAACAAAGGTAGGTACGTCGATGGTAGTTTATCTCAGCGATTGTAATTGTGGATGTTTATTGTAGACGAACGAGTAGGAGGCGGCATTCTTCAAACGCGATAAAGGAACATCATGGACCTCCCAATCCGTCAGGTGAGCTACCTAACCGGCAGGTAGTGACGAGAATCCGTATCGTAAACGAGTCGTGCAACCGGTGAGTCGTTGCATCGGTTTTTCGAGGTAAAGGTCCTCTTTTTATTGCCCTAGCCACCGTTGATGCATCCGGGTAGAATCGCAACCATGCAACTTATCGACTACTTTTTCTTTTAATTAGTCGGCACCCATAAATCCATAAAAGTTGTATAAATAGAAATTGGTGATGTCTAAGATGTATGATATTTCAGGAAAGCTGCTACCTTGAGCTGTTACTACTTTGAGAAGAAACACGTATATTTGTAGACATCGAGAAGATTTTGAATCAACAACCATAGCACATCTTATTTATTGCGTTTAGATTTAATATAAAGAAACGTAACGTGTTCCTACTTATTTGAACTACTTCCAATTTGCTGTGAAACGCTCCGCTAATAATCGAACTGCAGAGAGCTGTCGAACAAATTACGAATCTCCGTCGACGGGTTCGTTTAACAACGATCACAGTCCGTTACACGTCCATAGCTGCGCATCGGCGATATCGCGACTTTTCCCTTCACAAAATTACTAGCACAAATATCTGTCAGGGCTGAATGGTTACTTTACCGGCCAAAAGCGCGCGCGATGGCAAACAAGAAACGGTCCTGGTCAAATATCTACTCGCGATACATCGGCCAGTCGACGTAACTTGCTGTTGATTTTTGTCATTTGACTCGAAATGGTCAGTCTGTCTGTCTGGCTGTCTGTTCGTCGAACGGTTAACTGTTCCATCTGCAACGATAGCTCTCTGACGTTCAACTTTGAGTAACCTTGGAATACTGTAGGCTGCAAAAATTATATCAGCGACAAACAAGCGTTAAATGATAAATAAGCGTTGAATGATAAACAGAATAAGAGTTAGACAATAAGCAAAAATAATTTGAGGATCCACAAGGGATGTGTAAAGAGATGTTACTAAGTTAGGGATTCAAGAACTTGGAAAAATGTTTTCAAGCATCAGACATTTTGTCAACGATGCAGTCATGATAGCAGAGGATCCTCGAATTATTTTGACAAGTACGAAGAATCATTGTAAATTTACCAGTTCAGCTGGTCCGGTGTCTTCTGTATTTCCAAATTTTCCAAATCGCACAACATCAGGACACTCGCGATCGCTAAACAAATCCGAGTGCACGAACATCCGTCACCGCAAACTCCGATCTTTATTTTTGATCGAATGGACCGGTAGTTCCTTCCGTCGAAAAAACCGCGAACTGCCGTTGGAAGACGACAATCCATGGTCCGTCGAGCAAACAAACGTCAAAGGCCGCGTCAAAGAAAGAGAAGAAATAGAAAAAAGTGTGAACGTGGAGCTCGAGGAGATACCAAGCGAAGACGATCGACGACTGTCGCGTGGGCGGACTGACGGACCTCGTGCTTTCCAGAGGATCGACCAACCGACGTGGAATCGTAAAATGGTAGCGTGCATGGATTGGCCGATGAAGCAGCGAAAAGGCGGCGACCGATGTCCTCCGTCGAGGAAAAAACCGTCCGAACGCCAGTGGAGTCGGTCTGGACGAATGCAGAGGCTCGTGGCCAATCGTGTAGGCCCGTTTCGAGGCCTCCTGGCCGCCATCTTGCCCCCGGAGTTTCCTAATTTACAGTTTAATTAGCGTCCAAGGAACAGGAGAACCGTGCACGGGCATCGATTGGACGGTTCACCGAAGGTACCATCGTCGAACAGAGGAGAAGAAACGTCGTCGAACAGAGACGACGATATGTCAGCAGTCAGTCTTCGGTCTCGTCTTCGCCGACTAGTGTGAAATATCGCGCCCAAGTGTTACGAGCACGACCACGCGGCTACGGAATCGGATAGTCCTCGCGAACGGATAATACTCCCCGTCCCTTTTCACTTTTCTCGACATCCTTGAGAATCGGTAATTCTTCATCGAACTGTATCAAGCGGAAGTTTTTTTCTCGGGTAAGTGCAAAACCGACACCCGATAACAACCGCTTGTATCTCTTATTTATGCGTAGGTACACTAGTGGACAGAATTGTAACTCCAAAATTACCGGGATAAGGACTTAAGGTGGTTGTATCGCGAAAGTTGGTCACTTTGACAAATGAGGTAATCGTGGTGATTATTAATATACATGTTACATGCTATTTTAAATTCAGTTAATTCCTTTCAAATGATACTAATAATTAGTTATTAATATTATGTACATCCAAAGTTTGAAGAAGTTTCATAATAAAGGTTTGTGATACAACTACCTTAATATCGTACTTAATGACAAAATAAATAGTGAAACAGTAGTGTTGGTAACTCGAACCCATAACAACCCTAACGTGCACCTCTCCTTCCAGGATTTTGAATCATCGAAACAGAAGAACTAGTGCAACATCTTCCGAGTCCCGAAACTCGGAAGGAAGAACCCAGAAGGTCGAAGAGGAAGAAAATGCAGCCGGCACCAGCCACTCCTGGTTCTCCAGCCCGCTCGTCCTGTTGCGAAAGAGAGCGCGAGAGGGAAGCGCACGAAGAGCGCGAAAGGGATCGAAACAACAGAATCGGTAGACAAAATCGAGGAACGCCTGAAGAAGATCGCGAAGAACAGAACGAAGATAGAATGGTGGTCTCCGGACAGAATCTGGCTGGCATGACGGTCAGCGGAAATCAAGGACTACCTCTTTCGTTGTCGCTCGAGGACAGAGATCTTTGGACCAAGTTCCAGTGCCTCACCAATGAAATGATTGTTACTAAAAACGGAAGGTGAGGGAAAATTTCACTGGAAATGGGACTTAAAAGTTGAAGTGTGGTTTGAAATACAAACGGTACTGTAATTGGCGATGCAATTTTTTCGTGAAATGCCTACGGAAAGATTTCTATTTACTAATTATTCGTGGAATATTCATCCGGATGAATCATCTAAATTCTCGTAACGTTTTGTAACAATCCTTTTTTTCCATTCTGCACGTTCATTTTTTCTACTCCTCTGTGCGGTGTATATGAACTATTATTTTTACCTTCTACCTTGTTCGCACCCATGCTCTAATTAATACATTTTTACGCGCGACGGAGAGCCATCTTGGGATCTTTCTACGAGATGATTCTTCGACGTTTCTTCAACGCTGCTATTTTAAACGTGCAAATAACGCGGTCATCATTGATGCTTAGTGGATTAATTACTTCTTGTTGATTATTACTCGATGACTGCTTAACCATTGCATTGTAAGAGCCTACAAAATTATGTCTCATAAACAACTCATTACAATTGATACTCATTACACTTGGTACTTACAATTGATCTATGAATTTAGTAACAAATTGGTAATTTTACAAAATCATAAAAGTTTTTAAATATAACAATTGTCGATCTTACAACATTTTATCCACGCTGTATTTCGTTATATTATTTAACAGCTACTGTTATCAGTCATAAAGTAACAATATGCGCAACTGTAGGCAATCAAAATCGAATAAGTTATTAGTGACAACATAACGTTTGTCATAAACCGAATGAAAGGAAAAAGAGTGAAAAAACCGGACAAGGTTGTCGCGAGCCGGCGCGGCGGATCAAAAGATATTCGTTAGATTGTATCCGACTACTTTTTACGATTGGTATATTATTAAAAAGGATTACAGTTTGTCGACCGCGTTCTTCATGAGCAGGCAAACTGTCCGCAGGTTACAGCTCAACCGGAGAATGTTTTACGCAGGATTTCGTGAGCATCGTAAAATTTTATTACCGCCGGCTCGATTCTTTCTGCTGTTCGCCGCCTTCGGTGTTACTTTCATTAGTGTTTATACAATTTCCGTTCCTTCTGGGCCGCGAGTTTCGTTATCATTCTACAGAATTATCATCTGGTAGCTAGTACCATCAAATGTTCAATTTAGATCGAGATAACACGTTCTCGCGGAAGGTCATTCATTCTTTTTATTTCCAGACGAATGTTCCCGGTTGTTAAGGTTGTTGCGCGAGGACTAGAGCCGAAAGCTATGTACACTCTTCTGCTGGAGTTCGTTCAGGTGGATCCACACAGGTAATTCACAATTACTCGTGGTGGACGTCGTAAATTGTTATCTCATCTTTTTCCTGGAGCAACGGTACTGAGCGCGATTCTAAACTGATTAGAACATTATTTTGCATACAATGTCGGACTGAATTTATGTAACCTCTATTTATCAAAGTGATCACCAAATTTATTTCTGACAGATGGAAATACGTGAACGGAGAGTGGGTGCCAGGTGGAAAGGCAGAGGTGGCTCCTCCGAACCCGATTTACATTCACCCCGAGAGTCCGAACTTTGGATCCCATTGGATGAAGGAGGCTGTGTCGTTCGCGAAGGTGAAGCTGACGAACAAATCGAACGGCAACGGGCAGATAATGTTGAATTCATTGCACAAATACGAGCCCCGTGTTCATCTAGTTCGAGTAGACGCTGTGGAACAAAGAACGGTATAAATAAGTTACCATTGTGCGCAAAGTGGAGATTTTGATTTATGAATTTGTCCAGGTGCTCACTTACCGTTATCCTGAAACACAATTCATAGCGGTGACGGCCTACCAGAACGAAGAAGTGACGAACCTGAAGATAAAATACAATCCTTTCGCTAAAGCGTTTCTTGATGCTAAGGAGAGGCCTGCTGATCCACAGACTTACCCACAGTGTTAGTAAATTTTTCTTAAACAGAAATGGTACAGTAACAGAGATGTATAAATGAAATAAATTTACAGACACCGGGGCTTGGTTTTTGCCGCAACCTACCATGGGGTACGAGTACAACACCGCCATCGCGGCTGCTCAAAACCAGGCATCAGTGACGGTCAACAATCATCTCTCTAATCCCTGCACCGTCTCCACGGCTGGCCACAGGAATACCTGCAGGTCGACGCCGTATACCCTCAGACACAAGTACATTCAAGATGGTACGTCCTTAAGCTCATTCATTTTCTATAATAGTGTTCTATAATTTTTAATCTGCAAAGTCAATAAAAGAATCAGCTAACTTTTTGCTTTTTGTTACACAGCATACGTAGCAACGCCAGGTTGGTCGCCAAGAAGTCCAGAGTCCCTGCAAAACTTGAACCCAGCCTGTCTACCTGCAGCGCAAGAGTGGCCTACTTCTCCGTCGCCGTCGCCCACCTCGTCGTCGCACTCGGTGTTCAGTAGAGGCGTCGTTGGTACCGCGTCACCTACCACAGCCACAGGGTGCACCTTATACGTGCCTTCGAATCTGTCTTCTGTTCCTCAAGAGCACAGCCATTGCACTGATACCTCCGCTTGGATCCACCCGACCGCTCTCTCGGAACAGCAACAGCAGCAGCAACAATCCTACTTGAATCTCAATCTGCACCTGCATCATCAGATGTCGTCGTACGCGTCGATTCCACATACGGGATTGCATCATTCGTTGCATCCAAATGGCACGGATGCAGTCCCTCCGGTTGATGAATATGTTGTCCACGAGTATCACGCCTCGCCTGTTCAATCGACGACGCCTGACCGTCATCCTCAACATCATCACTCTCAGATGTTGCACCTGCAACCGATACAGCAGACCGGGACGGTGTCTCCCGTTAGTGTCGAATACGACGCTCCCCCCAAGGACCATCATATATCTGTTAATTATTCGGATCAAAATACGGACACGTTGAATGATGTGCAGTCCGATGAGAATAGGAGATATCTGACGACGGTCATTGATAGACATCATCGACAAGACTCCGATATCGCGGCTAATGATCATCAAACTACGGCTTGGACGCCTCTGACACCACCTCCTGCTCCACAAACTACGGCGATTTGATCGAAGTACGTTATGGTTTCGTTACGAAATAGAAATACTATTTGATTTTTATACATATTATCCCGATAGTCAAGTGAATACTAGGGATCTGCGAGTAGCCTAATGTCAAAGATTTAGATTGGCTGCGGATGAATTTGAGGAGGTGTAACTTTGAAAATGTTTCTAATGTGAAGTATACGACCTAGATAAGTAGTTCGTATTCGCACATCCCTAGAGATTACATATTAATTTGTCGCGGTACCCAATTGAGTGCAATACAAACAATAATTGATAACTTGAAATATTTTGGTAACATGAGAAGTGGATGTGAAGGGTACAGGCACAGAAGGAAGTTTTATTTAGTGCTTGATTCATAAAAAATTGAATATCGATTTCTCAGAAATAAATCCGTCCCAAGATCGTGTCTTAATATTTTTAGATGATATGTATTAAGGATAATCATTTAAATAAAATATGCTAAACGTGCACATATCGTTTCACCTTCCTGAAAGATAAAAGATGTACAAAGAAATGTTGCAACGATTTGCTCATAGATGTACAATAATTTATTCATAGACAGATGCTCATACCTATTCAGCTTCTCTTTTTTACACTGAAAGCAATGAAGGCACTTTCACATTTTGTTCGTAAGAACTTTCTAAAAGTTTATATACAAATATAAACTTGTAACTGTACGTGTACAGGAAATAATTTAATTTGATCGTAGCGACAATTTACAATTACAAAAAATTTTAATAAATCAATGATTTATATAATTACAAAATGGTACACTGAAAATGTATATATTAAAATATTTTTCATTTCAGGAAGTATCCAGATCCTATCCAATTCCTTTGCACATAATATCATAAATAATATCTACTTCTTAATGAAATTTTTTTAAACTTCTATACATTTATACAAACTGAAGATAATTGTACACAAGATTATACATTAACCGAACCAATGATTGCCCATGCAATCTCTATTCCATTCGGTCTGACACACCCAACACCAATGATAACCACATCCTGCTCTGGTGCAAACCATGTGCATACATCCACCTTAAACACAATATTTCAATAAATATTAAAATATAAAATTACTCATTATTGAACAAATTGTAATATAATAGAATACCATCTCTTTCTGTTGGTGTCCTACATTTCGGGCACGGTTTCGTTGAAATTTGTATAGTTTTTTTACTAGCTTCATCCCATTTTGCCTGAATAAGATATAATTGAGTAAATTTTTGAATCAATATAAACAAAAAATTTGATCTACTTACATCTTTAGCTCTTTCAGGATCAACAGAATATCCAGATTTCTGTGGTCCATTGAGAGATTCAGATGGTTGCAATTCACACTCCCCTAGATGGAAACCTTGTAAACATCTTCTACAAAAGACATACTAAATCCAATAATATATAATTAATATTTAGATCTTCCTTCTTCATTTTGTAAGATGTTTTATGTAGATAATTACCCCACAACCACCAATGCATTGAATTCTTCTGCATTCGTCGTTACTGCCATCATCTGGAGATGCTGGTATAATACCCATACCACAATCTGGTCTTGGACACAAAAGTCCACCAGCACGTAAAACATATTCTTCTGTACTAAATCTTTGGTATTGTTCATACTATATGAAACACATATGTTATTAATATTTAAAGGTACTTAAAAATTCATATATTTATCATTAAATACCTGTTCTGGAGTCAGGAGGTGAAAATGATGGACCTCTGGTATAAAAGAATCTGGGCATCCTGCTGGACATGGCAGAGTATAATATCCTCTAGTTTCATCAAACTGAAATTGACGTTCTCTTAAACGAACTGAGCAATAATCTCTGAAGCAGTCAAGGCAAGTTACATGGCCTGCCTCACACGGGAAAACTAACACCATGTCTCTATTAAAATAATTCTGCATAAGAATCTTTCTATTTCTTACTGTCTGTAATATTCATATTAATTACCCAATATCTGTACATGCGAGACAAGGTATCTTCCTTAAATTTGGTTTGACAAGATAAAGAGGAACAGCTTCATCTTCTTCCCCTAGACTAGCATGTTTTCCACATTTAAAATAGAAACGTGCATACAGAACTTGAGATTCTGTATCATCAGAAATCAATTTAGGTGCAGTACAAAAATCATTTTCACAGTGAACAGTTATTCTCTGTGGTTGTAATACATCTAGCCAGCTTTGAGGATCTCTGTCTACAGTAACTGCTCCACTGTTGCAGGTTGCACATTTTACCCGCAATTTTCCAACCGTGACAGCTCTGCATGGTGTTGAACAATATACAAAAAAATGAGCTCTATTCTCTTTTTTCTCTACAAACAAAAAATTTTTATGAGATTACAAGTGTCTTTGGTATTTCAAGAACTACAGTCAGTAAATATTCACTTTAACCATTTGTTTTTATCCTTTAAATGGCTAGGATTATTCTACCTTCCAAGGATGAATTTTCTTGCGTATCTGATTCATCAAAAGGTAAATCTGTAAGAGTTTCATTCATTGGTTTCCCACCGCTCTCATTTAATTCAGATGATTCTGATAATTCTTCGATGGTAGCTGTTGTGTCCCTGCTTTTATTAAGCTTGTGGGACTGAGTCCGAATCGCATGTAAGATACTTTGTTGGCCTAAATCACACTCCTAAAGCAAGTGAGGTTATTATATGTAAGCAGTTTTATACTTTAAAAATATAGATTGTCAACAGAATTAACTTATGGTATAAATAAACTTACCTCTATTATTGTTGAATTATGGAGTTCTTTACCTGCAAATATTATTTTTATATCTTCAGGTGATATTCCCATTCGTGATGCTATTATTTCTTTTACATTTTTTATGTCCCATTTTGGATCTAAATCGACGGCAATTGTGCGTCCCGTATTTGTTTTCACATATATACTTAACAAATTTGTTACTTTTCGTTTACTAAACCAAATTAATTGTAACATTGTCAAAAACACGTTCCGTATGAAGTCAAAAAGGAAACTCATACCAATTACTTCGAACGTCGTTTATTTCGATCTTTAAAGCAAGAAATAGACAGAAAGTTGACTTAACGTATAAGCTAAAAATAAAACAATATTTAAATGCTAAAATAGCTGCAATGAAAATTGTCACAGAATAAACAGCTACGAATATTTAATTTAATAACCATTTATCTTTATTAAAGCGTATAACAGTTTCAAGCGTACTATATACATGTAATATGTCACATCTTAATTAATTATAACCTCTCTCGCAGTGATGTTTGAAATCATGTACATATAGCGTGTGACAAGTAAAATGGCGCTGTAGGAGAAGGAAACGCGCCACTCGTTAGTTCTTACCTTGTAAAATTTCAAATTTAGAAAAACTTGGGAATCGGTATATTTGTAAACTTGGAAATTTAGAGATCTAATCTTTTAGAAAATGAAAATTGTAAGTTTCGGATTTGAAAATGATCAACTTCACATATACGAAAGCAAATAATGGTAAGATCCCTTACTTAAAATATACAAGCGTAATTAGAAGTTCCACGTCTTTAGGTATAAACACGATTATATTTCGTTCGATACATAGCAATACATTCCAAAATATACAATAAAAAAACTTGTATACAAAAATATATAACAAAATTGCCGCTACAGAATATTCAATATTTAACGATATTGAATACTTTGCATTAAATGTAAACGTAAATTTCATAAATAAATTAATACTATCAGGATATTTTATTTAAATGCTATTTAAATATGCTCCCATGCTTGTGTTTCTTTATTGTATCTTACGGTAGATAACACTTCTACCGTCCTAATCGCAGGTTTATTTTTCGCGGTTATTCTTTGCCTTCTCGTGACGTTTTCGTGTTTCTTTACTCTCTTCAACTTTGACAACCTAGATGTCGTTGTAGTTTCATCTAACGACATTTCATTAGGGAAACTTTTTTCTTTCGCATTCAATCGTGATGCGAACTTACGAAGCTCATTGATTCTTTGCAATTCCGAATCTGATATATCTGCCGCCATAGTCCTCGAACGTTTAGACTTGAATTCAAAACATTCAAGCCTTCTTTTGTTTCTCGTTCCATTTGAATCATTTTCGACATTACGTGGGCTTCTTAAAGGACTCGAATTCTCTTTTACCTTTCCTTTTTCAGCTTTACATTTATGGAGAAACTGATTCAACGTCATCCGTTGTGCCGTTCCACTGTTCCCTCCAAATTCCACGTCCTCCTGCGCAGGAAAACAGTAATCGTCGTATGTTCGAGACCATTTTCCTAAGGATTTATCCCAGTGTCCATGCACGACATTCATGTCCTTGTGTAAGCGTAACTGAAAATCTTTCCAATTTTTCTCTCCTTCGTTCGTAACTGCATTAAGATCGATGTCTTCATCTTTTAAATTATAATTAGTAAGTAAATGATGAATATTTATTAAATGTTTTATTTATAAATTTTTATTGTTTTACTTACCTTTTCCAGTCTCCCCACTCTTTCCTTGATGCGAGGATATATTTTCGTAATTTGGAGGGGTAGCAAGATACTTGCTAATGTTTGTACAATTATTCTGTACGAAATTATCCCAGAGTAGATCACTCGACGTCGTAGGAACCCTCACATCTATCAACCATTGTTTACATTTTTCAATGCTTACGTGTTTTTTGGAATGCCTTGGGTTCCTTACTCTTAGGTACGTCCTCACTGCATTATCTCTCTCTAAAAAGATACAATTTAAACGTAATTTATAGATGTATCAAAAGATGACTTCTCTTGTTAATTCTACTAAAAATATCAACTATTACATTTAATACTTATCAAGTAAAATTAAGTACTTAGAAATAATGGTTGTTCTTCTTCATCAGAGTCATCCACTGGTGAAATAAGAAACGGCAATTCCTTTAAGGGTAATGTGTCCTTATTTTCCGCAAAGGTGATCTTTCTAGGACTTTCTATCTGCCATTGATTAAATCGGAGAGTCGGCGATTCCAACCGATCGTCAAGAAGGCGCGGAGCGTCTCGAACATGTTCCGGAGACTTTACATCCATAAACAAAACATCATCGGAATCGGAAACTGCTTTCTTGTTAGAACTATGTAATGTCTCATCATAAACAGACTGTTCCCACTTTGTTTCCCAATCACTGTCAGAGTCCTTTTTAGACTTCCGTTTCGTTTTTCTCCTTTGTTTCTTTCTTCTCGTCTTTTTTTTCGTTTCTATAGTTCTTCTTATTATGTCTTTATTTACTGTCTTCGCACTCGACGAGGAGTTTGTGTCAACTGCGGATATACTTATACTGCTCAATCTATTACCCTCAGTTACTACTGGCGTACTACAAAAATTGGACTTTCTTTTTCGTTTCAGCTTTTTCTGAGATTTATCGAACGAAGAAGACATCTTGATAATGAGTCATGCACGTGTAGTATCAAGAGCGTGCGATAATTCCGATATCATCAGGAAGTACCGGATATTGCAAGGGCCCGTATACTACGTACACGTGAATCACGTGCAAACCTATATCAGGTTTAATATCAATACCGAGTTTCCAATTTCCGCTTCCGTTTTATGGTCCAACCATTCCATGTTCTTTAAAAATGTCCAATTCTTGAGATCTACTCTTATGTGTTTATCCGTTCCATATTACTCGACGATCGGAACTAAACTAATAAGAATTGTATACAGGTCTTTGAAATTTGAACGTAAATATACGTACAATGCGGAAGTTGTTATTGACTCAAAATTTAACCGTCTTCTGAAATTTGTCTTTGTGAACGTTAGTAATTAGATAACGATTAGAAAAATTAATATTTATCTTCTTTTTGACGTACACTGGTAAGAATCAAACAAGAATGCGTAGGTTGAGCATACATTCTAAAATGACGCATTTTTAAGAAAACTAGTCGCTGTTAATTCTTCAAAGGTTAATCAATACATCGAATTACGTCGATCATCTTTCGAGAAAAAAAAAGTAAAAATACTACTTTCACACAAACGGTGTTCTTTTTTGTTACATACTCATTTTGTATTTTTATTTTGTTATCATTGTCACAAACTTACGATTATTATTTTTACATACACAGTTTTTTTTTATTAATTGTTATTATACATTTCTGGTATTTAAATATTTATCGTGTCAGAAATTCATTTTACTATTTTCAAATTTTGAGATTTTGAGGGGTTGCTGGGGTTAGCGCCTCGTTGATACGGCACTGGTATCTAAAGGTAGCCACTACCCGAGATGCTCAGCACTCAGTCCACGCTGGATTCCCGCGCCGTTTGGTTCGCGTCGTAGCGTTCCTGTAAATTTTAAATTTGACAAGTCGTATCACAATTTTCAAATCGCGTCTTGTTCCTTTTTGCCACAATTATAATTACAAAGTATTCCGTTTGATTTTGATCAAATAATAATTCGTAAATCGTGTCTGAAGACCGGAATCACGAAGGTTAGGAGAACAAATCAGAAGGGCGAACGCGATTAAGGAAACACGATGCCAGCGGATGCGGAACTCAGTAATCTGCTTAGCAGGAGGCAAAGGATCAACGAAGAGCTGGAAGAGGGGAAAGAAGTGAAAAAGCAGTACAAATTTGTGAACGTTTACACCGAATTTCACGAGCTGTCCCGTCGCGAGATCAAGCAGTATGAGCAGACCTTCAACAGGTGAGTACTTTATCCTTTTTTTTCCTTTACGTATACCCGTGTATCGCACCGACAAAAGAGGAAAAATGATGCCGTTCATTGTTGTCTTATCCGAATGTCTTTGAATCGATCGTTTGGATCAGTTTTCCTACACTCGAGATACGATTTCACGTGCGTAGAAAAATTTGAACGTGATTGATTCGTGCGACCGTAGTTTTTAAGCCGGGTCTGCACACGATGCAAATTTTTGTTTACGCTTACAAACATAATTAACGTGAACGTATGCATAAATTTTCGTTGCGTTCAGCGTTCGTAAATCGTTACATAGCAACGAGTGTGAATTTATCGTGGAAATCTTTACGTCGAATTTCATATTCTACGCACGGCGTAAATTTTTTCCAGTGTAGACACGGCTTTAGGTTGTGGAACCGGTGTGAACACAATTTTCATTTTAAAATATACGAATAAAATCTAGTAAATGTTTTTTATTATTTTAAACATATACATACGGCATATTTGACCGTAGTTAAAATTGTCAAATTGTCAACCATCTTTGATTTCACGTAATGTGTATCGTTGATAGGCTACTAATAAAAATTTATTCACTTAGAAATTAAACGTATCGTTCATAGTTATTGTTTGAGGAAATTATTTGTCTTTAGTGCCAACTAGAAATTGCGAGATAAAGCGTACAAGGAAATCGAAAGTGAATCACAACTCCTGTCGCACTCTGCGGTTTTGCTTTTTGTTTACGTTTACTCGCTCGAGTTTACATTACTACCTACAGACAGTTCGTGTTGCTTTGGTCAGATCGTTTCTATATGTACAAGTATAGAACGAAATGAAATAACGTTATGGGTCAGTTGAAACCTATCGGGTTGAAAAACAACCTATCTTGCTGCTGCTGTCGATAATGTTATCAATAAATATCGAAATGCTATCGATGGTTCGATACATCGAACTATCGCTGTAGTACGTTGTAACGAGTAATTTTATCAAATTTAATTATTTCTAATTAGATAACACAGATTACATGTACTTGGAGTTTAGACAAAAATAAAAAAATTCGATTAATGAAACACTATGAAATTCCTTATTTTTTTGAAGATCGAAATATTAAGACTATTTATCGATTGTCAAGGCCGAATCGATCAGTTTCGATCGGTCGATCAATCTTTCTATCTTCGGATTTTCTATCTATATTGTTCTAGATTTATCCAGAATTAATCGTAAGATTTTTGACAAGATATCAAGATTTTTCTCAAGAAGGTATTTGATTCGTATTGTTAGTAAAGCGCAGGCGTATTTGTCCAATTGTCAAAATTGATTTTTCTCGATAACCTTGAAAATACCGTGACAGTTTCGTTTAATTAAATAAATCTAATAATCGAAAGTGGTACCGAAATCTGTGCCACTGCAGTTATTTTTATGTGGTATATCGAGTTCGAACGTTAAGCGTACTCTCGCAATTTACCTTGTTCGAACGAAACAAGGGAAAAACGAAGGAAAATGGAAAAGTCACGCGCCAGTCGTTACGAAACCGCAGATGGCAGAATTCGTGACGTAGTTATTTCGTAGCACGAAGAAAAGACTCGAGGGAAGAGAGCAAGTCGTGTTGCGGAGCCAGCACACACGACCTCGAGGTTTGTCCTCCGTCTCTCTTGTTCTTCTTGCAGGTATTTCGGAGCGAACCGGACAGCAGGTTTGACAAGGCAGAACCAGGGTGGACGGCCGAGCGAGAGCAGTTCGTGTATATACCGTGAAAAAGTTGCGTCGCGTAATATACGATCTAAATTTATAATTTAACGTTTACAATTCTAATTCGCGTCGGTCGTTGCCCATAACCTATACTACATTTTAAAACCATGAATTCTTTTTCTCAATTCTTGTTAAATTTCGAGTACTTTTTTCTGTCAATGTTCTAATAACCGATTAAAATCTGATCGCGTTACACCGACTATAAATACGTATCGCTTTTCTGCCCTGTTATAGATACAGGTTCGCTGACATTTGATAGTTTAGTCAGTGGATGCGACCACGTAGGTTGCAGCTATCTGTTGACCACTTCCGGTTTCACTAACCGCTTTCAAATTTTTTGGTATTAATGTAATATGTAACACCTCTCATTTTTAACTGTGATCCTTTGTATTATAACTTCTATGATAGCCAGATTAAATAAGAGGGAACAGTAAATAGAAATTAATATATATAGAATTTATATATTAATTAATTAATTAATTAATTAATTATATATATATTAACAAAAAAAAGTAAATTAAAATATGTTAAATTATTATTTATTTACCAACGGTTTCATACAAACTTCTGGTGAAATATAACGTTTCGTGTAATGTACACTGTCTAAAATTATGAGCTCAGAATTCTTGTCGTGAAATTCGCGCTAGTAAAACGACCTTTTACTTTTACTTGCACAAAGAAATCACCTCGATTCGAACGTGATTAGGTTTAGACTTAGATTTTTAAACTTTTTCTATCCCTTTTATCTTTTTCTCCTTTCACGGCAGTTACGGGGGAGAAAATCGTGACCTATTCCGGCATGGTCCGTGTTGCAATAAATTCTTCCCACGTGTAAAATATTATTCGTTCTGTGGTCACGCGTGGCTCACGCTATCATTGCGTATTAGCTCGATAGAACTACAATGCAACGAGATGTAGGGATAGATCACTTCCGCCTCGAGATCGTTCGAAGTTCTCGTGCATGGTTGACTCGTGTCCAGGTTGATGAACATCGTTAATACGTCGTTGTTTTGTGGACTGCAATTTTCACGTACTCCCGAATTTCTCGCGTGACAGTATTATTCGCACGTTACCGGAAATGATCAGCACCGGTGTGTTCGTTTCATGACTAACCACCTCAAAGTATACGTAACACTTTGATTCACACGCGTGTGTACTTGATGCATGATTCACGAGGCAAATTGTCAGGTTGCCCTCCTCGTCGCTGTTCACGTTCAGTTCCCTCGATAAAACGTTGAAACGGAACGCACGATTGAATTAAGCTCGTTGAACAAAGTGGACGTTCAGACTCGTTTCGGAAACGTCAATGAAAATTGTCCACCGGACTTGATTTCACGTTCACTTCAATCATAACATTACTTTTTCAATTATCTCGCACGCTGCTTTTATATTCCTCGTGATTGTGCTAGGTCATGCATCGAATCGCTGTTCCGTAGATCGTGTAATATCGTTCGTTAACGGGGAAAGGGTTAAACGCTTACGATCGCAGAGATTTTCGCAGAATTGAACGCCGCGAGAGAATGACGAAAGAGAGGTGTAGATGTGATGGGAAAAAGGTGCAAACCGAGCGTGACTGCTGAATAAAAGTGAAAAAAGTCGACGATACGCTTTTATTGTGCACGATCCTTAATATGCCGGCTAACTTCCTGTATTCGAGCTGTACTTGATTTTCGCTGATTCGCGAGACACCTCGAAACTGCGACCGAAGTAATTATCGATATTAGGTGAACTCGCATTGAACTTTTCAATCATCGATACTTCTATTTATAGTAATATTTATTATGTTTTAATTGTGTTAGGATTTTTACAGGAAGTTTCTGTGCAAAGTGTAGGATAGTTTCAATTTTTCTCAGTCATAAATTACCTAGATCTCAATTTCCCCAAATTTCCTAGATTCCAAATTTTCCGAATTCCCTATATTTCAAATCCCCACAATTCTCTAGATTTCAAATTCCCCAAAATCCCTAGATTCCAAATTCCAAAAATTCCCTAGATTTCAAGTTCCCCAAAATCCCTAGATTCCCAATTCCAAAAATTCCCTAGATTTCACATTCGCAAAATTCCCTAGATTTCAAATCCCCAAATATCCTTAGATTTCACATTCTCAAAATTCCCTAGATTTCAAATTCTCAAAATTCCCTAGATTTCAAACTCCCAAATTTCCCTAGGTTTCAAATTCTCAAAATTTCCTAGATTTCAAATTCCCCGAATTCCTTAGATTTCAAATTCCCTAGATTTCTAATTTTCCAAATTTCAAACTCCCTAGATTTCAAATTGCCCAGATTTCGAATTCCCTAAATCCCAATTTCCCCATATTCTAAATTTTTTAATTAATAATTTCCCCAGTTTTCCACAACTTTCCCCAGATTTTGCAAACTCGCTAAATTCCTTATATTTTCAAATCCCTAAATCTGCAAAATGCCTTGAAAAGACAAAGTTTGCAACGCATGCAATTTTGAAACGATCGACTCGAACAACTCGATCGGCAAGTATTCAAATGACCGATGCTTAATTAGGTGGCGCATTTACAGGATTCACTTTCGCGCGGAATGTATAATCGATTTGAATCCTGCAAACAGAATTCGATGTTCTCGAAAGAAAAATAGGTTTGCTACTTTGGCGGAGTTGTCGCAATAAGCATCGAGCGAACCGTTACCTCAAAACTATTCAGAAAGATCACGCGTTCCGAATACATAAACGATGTTAGAATTTATTCGAGAACGTTGCTCGCAGACATCGTGAAGATATTTCATATCGATCACCTCGATGGCTTTTATAGGCGACTTGCTGTCGACACTATGCTCTCATTTTTTTAATTAATAATTTTAGTGGAAATTAATAACGCAATTCCGTATTAATAATTCAAGTGAAACATTCCGTGTTAATTAATCAACTAAATTCAATATTACGTATCAAATTGAAGAGTGAAAAATAAACAAGGCCGCTAGATTACATTTCTGCGGAAAACACTTTTCTATTAATAGAAATGTTCGTAATCGAGAATGCGTTTGAAAATACTTTGTTACTTTTATCGTTCTATTTTGTACGTAATCTCTGATCATTAGAGGCAGAGTTTTTCTTAATGAATTTCAGCAAGGATCACTGCACGATCAACTTGCGTAATAAAAGTTTGAACGCCACGCTCCGTAAACTCCGCTGAAACTAAATTACACAGGATCTCTGCTAAGTTATACAAATGTGAAAATCGCACAGGATGATGTGGCACAGATAACGCGGTATCGTAACGAACATCCTTGATAAATGTATACGATTATCATTTCATTTGCAGATAGCAATTTGTAATGACCAAATAAGGTATTGTATTCGACAAGTACCAGAGTGTACTCGACTTCATCGAAGACGGTTCGATTCGAAGAAGCTTCGGATTAAGAAGTAAGAATCGTTTGAAGGTCGAGGTTACGTTTATAAAGCGTGGTCAACGCTGATCAATAAGAGCGGGAGGGAACTATATCGCATCACCCCACGCATATAGTGTGTTGAATATGATAACAGACATTCATTTCACAGCTAATTTAAACATTCAATTGATAAGCTTATCTCGCTTTTAGTTGAAAGTCTTACTCAGTGGTTCACGTCTTTTTTATTTAATATCACATCGTAACAGTAATTCCCCAAATTCAAAAGTCCCTAGATTCCAAATTCCCAAATTCGAAATTCCCTAGATTTACAATTCCCCAAATTTGAAATCCCCCAGATTCCAAATTCCCCAAATTCCAAATCCCCCAGATTCCAAATTCCCCAAATTCCAAATCCCCCAGATTCCAAATTCCCCAGATTCCAAATCCCCCAAATTCCAAATCCCCCAGATAGAAATGTTCGTAATCGAGAATGCGTTTGAAAATACTTTGTTACTTTTATCGTTCTATTTTGTACGTAATCTCTGATCATTAGAGGCAGAGTTTTTCTTAATGAATTTCAGCAAGGATCACTGCACGATCAACTTGCGTAATAAAAGTTTGAACGCCACGCTCCGTAAACTCCGCTGAAACTAAATTACACAGGATCTCTGCTAAGTTATACAAATGTGAAAATCGCACAGGATGATGTGGCACAGATAACGCGGTATCGTAACGAACATCCTTGATAAATGTATACGATTATCATTTCATTTGCAGATAGCAATTTGTAATGACCAAATAAGGTATTGTATTCGACAAGTACCAGAGTGTACTCGACTTCATCGAAGACGGTTCGATTCGAAGAAGCTTCGGATTAAGAAGTAAGAATCGTTTGAAGGTCGAGGTTACGTTTATAAAGCGTGGTCAACGCTGATCAATAAGAGCGGGAGGGAACTATATCGCATCACCCCACGCATATAGTGTGTTGAATATGATAACAGACATTCATTTCACAGCTAATTTAAACATTCAATTGATAAGCTTATCTCGCTTTTAGTTGAAAGTCTTACTCAGTGGTTCACGTCTTTTTTATTTAATATCACATCGTAACAGTAATTCCCCAAATTCAAAAGTCCCTAGATTCCAAATTCCCAAATTCGAAATTCCCTAGATTTCAAATTCCCCAAATTCCAAATCCCCCAGATTCCAAATTCCCCAGATTTCAAATCCCCCAAATTCCCCAGGTTCTACATTCCTCAAATTCAAAATCCCCTAAATTTTGAATTTTTGCATTCACATTCCATCGCAACAAAATGTGCACCGAATCAATATACTCAAAGCATTTTCGTTGTTCTCGATGGAACGAAGGTGAATGGTGTGTCAGCAGCACAGACGTGAAAGATTGAAAGGTCAAGTGCAGAGTAAAGGTCAGAAGCGTTATCGAGACTATTTTATCCCGATGTTGTAATCTCGTGCAGAGAAAAATTTTCCTTTCACTCGTAATAGTAATACACGAAATATTCGGTAGCAAGGGATGACGTCTTTCCGAATACAAAAGAAGAATCTTGAACCGCATCGATCTCTGAGAATGGTAGAAGGGTAAGAGGAACATATCAGCAAAGTACCAGCAGCTACCTTGACCCAGTTCCCTCTGGATAGTCTTGGAAAATGCTGGCGAACGAATCACGCGGCAACTCGGCTAATAACGCAAGAATTGATTTTGCGATAACAATACCTGGTTGTCTGGTGTTCGTCGAACAACCTGGCCTGATTACCGTCGATTCACGATCGAATTGCGCCAACTTTTATCTTAATGATAAGAAGGGGTAATCACGTCCAGGGTACTCATTTGCGATTCTAATTAAGTCTTAATAGGACTACGAAAATAACCGAGTGCACAGGATTAAAAATAGGTCATTTTTGCTGGCAATCTTAGTAGCTGAGTTTAATGAAATCTTTTAATTATTCCTCTATTGTTAACTTGCGTATTGTTAATTTAATTATTTGTTTCGCTGTGATTATACGTCACATGTGTGACATTGCATATGTTAGATTTAGTTAACATTTCTTTCGAGTTACTGGGTCATTCCAAATCGATCACTTTAGACGTATTTTTCAATGAGGGGCGTAAAGGGTTTAAGTTTAAAAAAGATATGGTCATATTGTTTGAAGTTTTCCCTTTAAAATGAGCCCTTCAGAACGGTGGAGTCTGGAAAACTGACGTCACTGCAAGCTGGAAAATTCGCGGGCTACTTCTGTTTTAGGTAGAGTTGCGCGCGCAGCTTGGGTCCAGTAGCATAACTGCGCGCGCAACTTGCCTAAAACGGACGTACGCGACTTTTCCAGTTTTTAATTTTATTGTACAAATTTTATTTATGAGTAAACTTTCTAATGCAAAGAATCAACTTTGACCCATTGACTACATTGCAGTCGACTCACTGCAGAAATGCAACTTCGCTGTAAAATTCGTGTTACCTAGAAACAGCAGTAAAAGTTACTCGACGAGATTATCACGCGATTTCGATTGATCGAGCGTAAACGAGATATCGGGTTAACGAAACGCTTGGAAAGTAATCTTATCCCCTAACGAATGTAAACGAATGCAATTTGGTAGATCCTAATCGCTCGTTACTTTTTTAATTAGCGTGTAACGCAAATGATGTGTGTATCAATAGCGAGGGAACGTGAGAACGATTCGACAACGGTGTGTACCGATTTCGAAAGTGGCGGTGAATGTCAACGGTGTTAGCTGCGGCGTGTCCGCAAACCGGAAGCTCGTGAAATCGACTTTCCGTGTAAACGATCCCGATAGCCGGATAGCTTTCCAGAGAGTTACGATGCGTTCTGTTGATTCAACGGAGCGCATCGTTCGATAACATCGAATCTTCCGATTCTACTCGATCGAATTGCCTTTGGAAATCTTTTCTTGGTACGGTTAGCCACGGTAATTGTTGGTATTTACGATTTCCTTGATCCTTGCTATGTTTCTGGGTAAGAGAAGTCGGCCAACTACTACTGAGATTCCTGAGGTGATCCACTGATGGGAACTTTGAAAAGTTTCAATATAGAATTTTATTGGGAGGTTGAAATTTATTTATTATATATAATTAATATGTTACCATAAAATTGACGTATCTTTTACAGATTCGACGACGGTCACGATGGATTTCTGGACTTATCGGAGCTAAAGCGTATGATGGAGGTGTTGGGTGCACCGCAAACGCATCTCGGTTTGAAGGCAATGATACAGGAAGTGGACGAGGATGGCGATGGACGGATTTCCTTCCGCGAGGTTAGCGATTTCACGCGTTGATTGTCGTTCATTTTCGATAGAAACTATTTTCATAATTATAGCCCGTTTCTCCTTTCTCTATACAAAATATGTAATGGCCTCTATGAATAACAGGAAACAATGCGTTTTATGTAACAGTTTCATTTTACCGGAAATCGATGCTTCGACTAATTGTGAACGCTTTCAATCATAGAAGTTAGTTAGAATTTCCTGCATTTTCGGGTCTGTCTTTTTGTGCCGCTAAATGTATTCGAGATGAAACTCCAGTCTCGTTTCGCTTTCTACGTAGAAATTGGTTTATTTTCGCCCGTTGAGCATTGAGTTTAATGCATGCCTACACGTGCTATATACCCTTCATAAAAATAGTCCGCCCCACGGGGTGTTGGACGCGTGCAGACTTTTCCACGGTTGCTGTTCAAACTTCATGTGTGGCCGTGAAATTTCTGGGTATTGCTGGTGTTCTGTTTTAGTCAAGTAGTTAAATTTCTATTTAAATAGGTTTTAACGAACAGACGTTGCTAGATGACGCTGGGATGAGTGTAATGGGAAATCTAATAGGGTGACAGTAAATTTTGGAAACTTAGAAATTAGAAATTTGAAAGTTAGGAAGGTTGAAGATTCAAAATTCAAAAATTGAGAATTTGGAAATTTCAAAATTCAAAATTTCAAAATTCCCAAAATTCAAAATTTTCAAAATTCAAAATTTCCAAAATTCAAAATTTCCAATATTCAAAATTTCCAAAATTCAAAATTTCCAAAATTCAAAATTTCCAAAATTCAAAATTTTCAAAATTCAAAATTTCCAAAATTTCAAAATTTTCAAAATTCCAAATTTCAAAAATTTCCAAATTTTCAAAATTTCAAAGTTTAAAATTCAAAATTTCCAAAATTTCAAAATTCAAAATTTCAAAATTCAAAATTTCCAAAATTCAAAATTCAAAATTTCCAAAATTCAAAATTTCCAAAATTCAAAATTTCCCAAATTTCAAAATTTTCAAAATTTGAAAGTTAAAAATTTCAAAGTTCAAAATTCAAAATTTCAAAATTCCAAAATTTGAGAATTCAAAATTTCATAACTCAGAATTCCCATATTCAAAATATCAAAATTGGAAATTTTTTAATTCAAAAATTGCAATTTAAAAATTCGAATGATAAAACCGAACGTAAGATGATTCATCGTAAAAGCATGATTAGTTCTGAGATTAAATGAAATTTCACCGAAAGGTTAAGTTCGAAGAAGTAAAGATTGCATTGTGCATTCGAGACCAGATAAATTGCAAATGCAAGGGCACGAGTGCGTACGAAGGAAAGTCCTCGGACTGGATGCAAATGCACGAGTGGACATTCCTACGTGACTTTTCGTGGTTCGCGAACAAAGCGTTCGACCTGCATATACGCGCGATCGGTTGTCTGTTTCATAGATCACCGTGATTCATCGCATCACTGAAAACTCCACGCTTACCTGCCTTATTACTCATCCCCACATCATCATTCTACAGTACATATTTACATATGCAGACACAATGCAGCATTTAATGTCCTTTTTGCATTTCTTTCCCTTTTACATGTATTATATACCTTCATTAATTAATACAAAATTAAATAAAAATTGTATATACGGTATCTAGACTTTTAGCTGTCTACGAAGACTTAGAAATTGCTCGAAGGTACGTCCGAAAGGTCGGCGACAGTATTTAGACTGTCGACTCCTTGTTCCTTATCTCTATTTATTATTTGCTGTAACATGACCTCGTTTGACGCTTTGTTCTCCTATCTTAAGCGGTGCATCATTGCACACTCTCCAAAAACTGTACTATTATTTTGGGAATTATACAACATATCATGTAACCGAAATGTTTGTACAGTTTCGTATAATTTCTTATCGCGGTATACATCTGATATTCTAACTTATCTACTTTCCAACTTTACTCAAGCGCGAATATAAAAATGCTGAACGGGTAAAATTGTTTCGTAAGAACAAATCGAATCGTGCGATCTTATCTCTGTACACGTACGGTTTATGACCTGTTACAGTTTCTGTTGATCTATCGCAAAGCACGTGCCGGTGAATTGGAACAGGATTCCGGATTGGGCCAGCTGGCTCGTCTTACAGAAGTCGACGTGGACGAAGTGGGAGTCACTGGAGCCAAACACTTTTTCGAAGCCAAGGTATTTATTAGAAATGACATTCATATTGTACTTTTCTGTCAATCCGACTTTTCGAATGAATTTTTTGAACCTAACCTAACCATTTTCGCAGATCGAGCAGCTACGAAAGACGAGCAAGTTCGAGGACGAAATTCGCATGGAACAGGAAGAACGAAAGCGAGAAGAGGAGGAAAGGGCGGCAAGGCGAGCGCAGTTCAGACAAAAAGCTGCTCTGTTTGGCAATTGAAAGGAAAATTCGCGATCCGAGAAAGTGTTCGGCCACTACTGCGCCTCACTGGAATTACAAACGATTGCCTCAATCCGATTCACTTGTTTCATAATAAGATTTGTCGATCGGGAATGTCTTAGCAGATCGGCTTAGCCGAGTATTACATCATTAGGAAGCGCTAATTCGTGACAAGAAAGAAGAACTATTGTTATAAGCTTTTATCGAATGTAATCTTTTAGATGAGTTGTTTTTTTATATGCATTTTGAGTACTGAACGATAGTTAGTTTTAGAATCGAGATTCTTTTATAAGTTTCTGTTTTGGTATAAAAAACTTGTTTACCTATGCGAAGTTTTATACAGGGAAAATGATAATTAATTGTGCAAAAGTAATTCTTGCAATTTTATGAGCAGAGTCAGTTACGCTTTTGGAACTTTCAAAAACGTAACTGATTATTTAGAAAGAGGTTTTATGTGAAACGTTCTTTTGCAGTTTTATAGGATTAGATTATTTTGCATTCGTATAACGAATAGATAGAATAGATATTAATGAACGCACGACTGATATTCTAAATATAATATGTAAATGTGTGTATATTAATTTATATGCTAATTTCAATTTTAAATGTAAAGTCGCACTGTTAAGATAAATGAAACATTTTGCAACTTGTTCTTGATCAGAAGATTTTGACAGCAATTTTTTACAACCTGTTTTTTAAAGGATAAAGATCACTATGCATCACTGTCTTTTTAATGATGTTTCGTTTTATAACTTAAAATAGGTAGACATTAATGCATCGAAACGTAAAGCAAGTTAAGATTATTTTTATAAAATTTTAATCAATATGTTGCGGATTGTGTATATAAAATGTAAGGGACAATAGATGTGCCTTAGGTAAGCCTGTACAATTAGATTGTAAATAAACTTTTTTGTTCCGACAATTTTGTACACGTTTAATTGAGTAATGAAATAATTATTACAGTAGTGTACTTCATATTGTGATACGACTTGCACTATGTTCATATTATACTTGCATATTGCAAATTGATGTGAAATAAAAGAGGTTGATTAATGAAAGTCATTGTATCGAACTATATTTGAACATTGCAAATTGTTTGCTAAATGAGAGTAGAATTCAAAACTAGCGCTCAATCCTATACCTGAATTTTTCCCTCATTCCTACCAACACATGAGAAGGAAAAGGATGTTTCACATATTGTACCAACCTTATTTTTCATGCTGGTGTTTTAAAATTTGAGAGAAAGAATCATTTGAATAATCTATTTTTGTTACATCGGATGATTTTAAAATTCTCAATGTGAAAGTTGAGAAAACGTACAATTTTCTTAAAATAACCTTATTCAGTTTTGAAAGAATATTTTCAAGCGAACGTTGTGATTGATAAAGTACAATTATATTTTGGCTACAAGTTTGAAACAGTAAGATAACTAATATGGTTTTATCAAGTATTTTAATCATTGTTAACTTTTACATCTCTTATCAATGTTTGATCATGACTTAAATCTGTGTAATATATAACATGTTCATTTCAGTTTGATAAAAGATTGAAGACTGTGAAGTAATAATTGCTATCCAGAATGGCTTCAAATCAGGTAAAAAAATTACATAAAATTAATTTGTTATGAAATAACAATTTTAATATTATATTTTTTATAGGTAGAAAAGATTGTCAATTTGTACAAAACTTTAGCCAAAAATCCATCTTTAAGCGGTGCAAAAATTATTGAAGCCACTAATAGTAGAATATCAATTTTAAGTGCATGGTCACAAAGGAATTTAGAAAGAAAAGCAAATCAGAAGTTTTTCCAAACTCATGTATTGAATCCAGAACTACAAGTGCAGTCTGAAAGTTTTCCTGTTGATGTTACAACAGAGTATATATTTTAAATATATTTTAATACATATTTTTATGTATGCAGAATATATATTTTAAGAAAACATTTTTCTTTGTAGACTTTTATCTGCTTCTACTGTAGATGAGAAGCGCAGAGCTGTTTTAAGACAAGTTACTATTGAGAATTCTACAAAACAATTCATTGAAATTTGGGATAAACAAAGACTTGTTAAGAATTATGATCTTGCTGCTTTGGATGTGCATGGAGATGTATACACTGATTGTAATTAGAGATTTAGAGCTAGATACATAAAAAATTTAAATAATCATTAATAAAAAATCCATTTTTATTTACAGCTGAATTTGCTTCCTTTGAGTGGTCTTCAGACAAAACAAAACTATTGTATATTGCTGAAAAGAAACTTCCAAAATCAGAACCATTTTATAAACAAAAGCCTCTTAACAAAAAAGATACAGATAAGAAAGAGGAAGATGAAATAACTGTGGTAAAATTTTTTTCCTGTTATGACAGAATAATACTTCAGAAACTTTTAATTGAAATCAATAAATTACTTGAAACAGGGTAATGAATACATTTATAAACCTCATTGGGGAGAACAATTAGTTGGTAAACATCGTTCCATTGTGGCAGTTCTTGACACAATAACGGACACAATCTCAGCCCTCTCAGGTATACCAGATGAACTTTCACCTGCTCAGGTAATATGGACAGAAGATAATCAAGGAGTAGTTGGTGTAGCATGGAAACATGAACCAAGATATTTAGGCCTCATTGCCTGTACCAATAGGCTTTCTTGGATATTTTTACTAAAAGATGGAGAGTACAGTAAGAAAAATTCTTTGTAATACTGATTTTATGTAAGAGTTATAAACGACTTTATTATTGTTGTAATAGAAGATATGTAAAATTATTGATATTTTCCAGAAAATCTTTCTAGTGATGGATGTGCTGTACGCTGTCCAAGATTTAGTCCTGATGGAAAAAATTTAATTTGGTTAGAAAGAGAAGCTGGAGGTGTACATCACAATGCCCATAGACTTATGTGTCTTGAATTTAATTCTGACAAGACTAAGGTATTGTATTATTTTATACCATGTTGATTGTAAACAGATTAATGTTATTTTTTAATATTCAGGCTGATGTACTTGTTGATATAGTACAAACAAGTGTGTCAATTAAAAATGCTAAAGATTTCTATGGTTTGTATGGTCGTTTATCACGCCGTTGCTGGAGTAGCGATTCACGATATATATTGTTTAGTACGCCTCAACAGAATAGTATACATTCTTACATCCTTGATACAAGTAAATATTTAAATAGACACACTCACTTTTATTATTATCCTAATCACTTCTAACTAAAACAATATTTTTAGAAACAAAAGTTATCACTGAAATTAAGAATGATAAAAGTAGTCTTAGCATTTTGGATGTTAAAGATGATGTTATTGCATTTTGGGAAACATCTATTATGGAACCTGCTGTTCTTTCAATAGGAAAGTTTAATCCAGAAGCAGTTGATAATGGTATTATTAAAAGAAATAAAGTTTCAAATGTTACACCTATTTCTGGCTCTGAAAACTTAATGTATGAAGCATCCGAATACCATTATGATAATGATGATGAAATTAGTAAGTATTATTTTAATGGTTTGAAAAATACAAAATATTTTTAACGAGACGTACTCCTAACTTTTTAAAATTTTTAGAACACTTTAATTTCATTTATTTTGGACCGAAAAGTGGAGAGGAAAAATCTGTGCCATTTATAATTGTTCCACATGGTGGACCTCATTCCAATTATACGAATGTATTTATACTTGATTATGCGTTATTTGTATTATCAGGTAAGTATTTAATTTATGTGAATTCATCGCAGTACACGATATTTATGAAAATTCTTAATTGAAGGCTTAGCAGTGGTGCAAGTTAATTACCGTGGTTCTACGGGAATGGGATCAAAGAACGTTGAATATCTTCAAGGAAAAGTTGGAGATGTTGATGTAAAAGATTGCGTAACTGCTACAAACGAGGCTTTAAGGAAATATTCGTGGTTAAATCCAAATAAAATAGGTATTAGTGGAGGTTCGCATGGTGGATTTTTAGTAACTCATTTAAGTGCTCAGTATCCAGTAAGTTTGAAAAATAACATCGAGTATCTATTACTGTATTATTTATTTAACTTTTTAATTTATACGATAAATGTACTTAACAGGATTTATACAAAGGTGTTGTTGCAAGAAATCCAGTCATCGATATTGCCGCTATGTTCACTATATCAGATATTCCAGACTGGTAAAATATTATTGTATTTTTAAAAAATTCATATTTCTGTTGAGTTATTTTAATTATATTGCAGTCGCAATGCTCTGAGTAAGGAAGAAAAAATTAAGTACCATCATGATGTGTAAGCTTAATTATAGATTCGAATTGAAATAAAAAGCAAAAGATAACTAACGCAGAATATAACACATAAATACAATATATGTATAAGATTTATTTCAAGATATTAACGTTGAGAAAACTTCAATTTCAGGTGTGCTGCTGCAATCAGTCAACCTTTCGACGAAAGTGTGCCAATTCCAGAATCGGAACAAGTTGAGATGCTTGTAAAAATGTTTAAGTGTTCTCCTATTATTCATGTCAATAATGTTAAAGCTCCAACTTTATTGTGTATTGGATCAAATGATTTACGTGTACCTGCGTCTCAAGGAAAACTGTGGTATCAACGTCTTAAAGCAAAAAATGTGAAGACAAAGTAAGTAGAAATTTTTGTTCACAAATTACTATAAATACTGTTATTATTATTATTATTATAGGATGCTCCTTTACGAAGATAATCATCCTTTAGCATCACCAGCAGTTGAAATTGATAATGTTATCAATGCTTGTTTATGGTTACATGAACATGTTTCAGGAGACAAAACCGAAGATTCAGGTTCATAGTAACAAAATCAAATACGGTAAATACTATGATAATTTTTAATAATTTTATTACAAGAAAAGTATTGTTTATAGTATCAGCATGTATACATTTGTAACAAATAAATTTTCCAAATATTCACATATCCGTAGTATTGTATATTGTATCTTATGCGCTTATAAAATTCGGTATAAATATGCTATATGTACATATATCATTGACTTGTCAATATAGAGTACCAGTACTATACGATACTCTAATTGCAATACTTTTTCTAAAGAGTCGCGATCAATTAACAAAAAATAAAAACAATCTCGTATAAACATTAAACTCATTAAATACTGTATTTTTTGAATATTAAAAAAAAAGGCTTATAAACTATAAACAAAACATTGTCCTATGATAAAGTTTTGACACTGAATCGTTAATTAATTTCATTTTTAAGCGTTGCTTTATACTTATTATATATAAGAGACTTCATTCTCACTTATATTTTAATATAATTTTATCAAATCGTATGTATCTTTAAAAATGATTAAGCAGTATATAAAAATGTTTAGTATTACAAATAGTATTGTATACGATATCCAAAAGATCGTTATCAAATACGAAAAAAAGAATGTAAAAAACAATTAGTTGTCTTTTTTGAGTTCTTGACTGTCTAACTATATCTCGTTCATTCAGAAAGGCACTCACTCATACCATATATCTGAAAACTGCATCGCGTACAGCAATATCTAATTAAAACATTAGATAAAGTGCTGTCAATATCTGTAAGTTACTACAGTAACTTATCTTGATAATTACGATCTAACGGGGTTACTTTGTTCTGGAAATAATGAATCATAACTAGGTGGCAGATCTTTGTTATTAACGGAAGAAGGTACAGCAACTTCTAATATAGGTGCTGTGGGAACTGTGGGATTTGCAGTTCTTTCGGCTTCGTGCGGTAATGTTGCTCCATTTTGACCAGGAACCCTTGCTGCATTTGGATCAGCATAATCCACAGACCAGTATAATTTCTGTGACCTCTTACAAATCCACAGACACATAACAAATATGATGAAACATAAGATCACTGTAGTTACAGCACCTATTGTGACTTTTGTGCCAGTGCCTGTGCTCATAATTTCATTGGGATTATTTGGACAATTATCTTCATCTGCCCGAAGTAAACAAACACCTGGCACACAGTTATAAATTCCATCACAGAAATATTCATTTAACAAACAGCCACCACGAAATATTGGTGTATATTCTCTTAAATCCACCTTGCTACAATCTGTACATAATATAATGTTATTAGTATAATTTACCATATGAGTCAGAAAGAAATAGTTAATATTAAGCAAAATTACTTTTGAAAGGTGTGTAAGCAATACTAAGACTCAGACTCTCTCCCTCTTGTAACTTTTCATTCGAAACAAATATTTCTGTTTCTAATTCAGCTCCTGACTTATAACCACTCGGATCAAATTCTGCATAAGTTCTTGCTGATGGGGGTGGTTCCGATGAATACATACTGTTTTCAGGTTCAGGAACTACATAATATTTTACTTTACTGCGATCAAGGAAGCCACAAAATTTTTCTGTCTTGTGATGATCTTTCCTCATAAACTGAAATATTGTTTTAAACCATTTTATAACATAGTATTGTTAATAAATTGTTCAGTGATTATGTACTTGGTAGCTAGTATTAATTATGTATGAATAGACAGTCAAATGATTACAAACCTGTACATAGTCTAAACACTGTGTTCCATTTCGCCTAAAAGACATTTTCTGAATGACTCCAAACAAGCCATCTCCTTTAGCTGTTTTAATGATGAATTTACAATGAATATTTTTGCGACCTTCGGTCCACGGATTGAACATGTGTTTCGATGTTACTATTATCGCCGAGTCTTTAATTTCTGTAGTCGTTGTTTTGCGAAGCAAGTGACAGAATTTTTCGGAGTCCAAAGAATCTGAAAGAAGAGGTTATAAAATTAAATATCCTTCAAATGTAAGAGATAACAAAATAAAATACAGTGATGTCTTTTTAAATGAAACTCACATTCCTCCTGTTTATAATAAGCACATGAACTATAATCCACACAACTGTTCGCAAGAAACATTAAACATAAGAAATGTAAAATATCCTGTCGAGACATTTTTACAGTAACTGTCAAAAAGCCATAAAGAACAGTAGTAATGTCTCTGTCAATTCCTGCACGACTAAGCTGTATGAGTAATTTCACAATGCTTTCGTGGAAAATACAAACTCGGAAAAGTTATTACGATTTTTCAAGGAATCGTTTAGGATCGATTCACCATCTTCGCGGATACGTCATCCTTTCGTGTACCAAAACAAAACGAACGTGTTCATGAGAGATCGAATCACGTAACATCGAGAGTTTCGAGATATCCGACTCAACGATCCTCGTTTCAAATGCAGATACGTACCACACGCTAAAAATATTATTTTAATTTTTTTGTAAATGTTTATTAAAAAATCGTGATAAATTTCAGTAGAAAATGAAAGTGATTGAACTCAATTATGGGAATGTGGAAGTTGGTAAAACAGCGGTAAAAACGATTGAAATATTTAATGAATCCTGCGTAAGTAATGTCACCTGAGTTTAAAACTGATCGCTTCACTTCGCACGATTATAATCATAATAACTTTGAGTGCATAGGAATATTTAAAAGTATGTTTAAAATCTGTTTACAGAAGGAGCAAGTATATCAAGTCCAAAGAGACCCAACTACGAATCCCTTAGATCATGTTTTTCATTTACGCTCTTATACTTGGGTTTTGGCCGCCGAAGAGAAATTTTTATGTGAAATACGTTATCGACCGTTTTATGTGTCTCCTAAAAACATTGACTATTTTATGATCAGTGATACCGGTGGATCGTGTATGAAGATTATTACCCGTGGATCTTGTATCGGTATTTATGCTAAGTGTTTCTATAGTACATTCAACTATAATTAATATTTCGTTCAATATTTATAGGTCCGGAAGTGGTTTGTTCGATGACGAAAATGTTTATGGGCTGCACGCAAGAGAGTGTCGAGGTGAAGAGACGAATAAAATTGATAAACAAATCCAAAGTAGCAGCGACATTTATGATCGAGACAGACGAAAAGTATCGGGTGTTTAAATTAAACCCAAAATACGATGTCATTCCTCCTTCTTCTTACAAATATATTACGGTTACTTTTGCACCGCCGAAAAATGGAAGATACAGTTATTATTTAATAATTCTAGTTCTGCATCAAGTAAATCAACGATTTTAGAAATATACTGCTGAAAGCAATTAATTTTATTAGCGATTACACGTATTTAAATACACATGTTGAATGCCGTGCGTGCCATCGGTAATTGATGATTTACTACAATGTTAACGTTATCGAATAACCGAAGTTTTTTCCGTCGGTGGCAATGTAACGAGCGTCCACTGTATATTGATTTCAAACGTGTATGCATTGTATACTAATATTTTCTTTCAACAATTAGGAACCAATTATTATAGAATTGCACGGAAACAGTACCACATCCCCTTCTGGAAAGGAAGACATGACTTGTCTCAGTTATTCCTGGAAGGAGAATAATGGATTCAAAGGATATATGAGAGATACTGTTAACTCAGCAGGAGATTTACCACTCGTGTCTTTGTCCAGACATTATTTTAATTTTGGTCAGGCAGATGTAGACACTGAGAATGTTATTCAAAGAGTTCCTCAAGCTATTTGCTTTACTAATCATAGTCACTCAAGTGTGATAGTTTCTTGGGAAAAAGGTAATCTAACTGTAAGCATATTTATTTTATAATTAATAAATTATACAATATAATAATAAATAAATTATATAATATATAATTTAATATAAATTAATATAATTTATTTTATAACAAAAATTAATTTATTCTTCTCGCAGATACCGAAGGGATCTTTAAAGTAACACCGTCCGAGATGCACGTTCGCGCGAACCAATCGACTCTATTTGAAGTTACATTCAATCCAAACGAAAAGAATAATCTTTTCGGGAGAGAGCTCATTAGTGCTGCTTATTTCCAGCAGCAACAACAATTGACTTTTCCGATTGTTATGTCGATCACTGCAATAGGTGATTAATTTTTCTAATAAAAAATTCGTGAGCTGATTTTAAATATATTGCAGGTCACTCTTTTCCAATTAATTCAAACGGATGGATCCCGCAATACGACATACCTCAAACGGTAATAATGCCACCGTGTGTGCCGCCATTTCCGGTTTATACGACCTTCTTGATCAAAAAGTTTGGTCATTTACCATTGATGTTTCAATTCGTCCCACCACCAGCTACTCACTACATCGTAAAGCCGATGCTTGGTGTAATTCATGCGTAAAATATTATTTTATTACGTTTATCTATAATATGTCGCTATTGACAATATGTACTGATATTCGCTGATCCGCAGAGACTATCAGATAATCGTTGTCGAAATGGTACCAGAGCACAAGAACGAACAAATTTATATAGAACGGTGGACGATATATTTTAACGGGAATAAGAAAAACGAAAGTTACATAGACTTCAAGGGATACGCGGAATATGCAAATGTTATATTCTGCAATAACAACATATTAACTTTCCCGGCGGTGATGCCACATTGTCAGCAATTTGCACAGCTTGGAATGCGAAATATAACTCGTCATAAAATCAGGTGATTCGTCAACATAGAATAATATTCCGTAATCAACTGAACAATCTTTTACGTTGATAATGTTGAATTAACGACGTTTATTTATAGGTACCGTTATTATCAGTTGCCACCTGAATTCAGAATAGAACACGAAAGCGGAGAAATTGATTCCAACGATACTTTATTTCAAGAATGTTCTTTTTCTCCGATCGAACCGAATATCGACTACGATTTCGAAATACAATGTGTTTTACTTGTTATAGAAAACAATACAATTGTAGGGTCGAAAAGTTGCGTGTCTTTGCGTGTACGTGGAAGAAGCGAAATGGGTACTTTGGAGGTGAAACCTTTTTAACGTTAATTTTAACTCGATTATAATATAAATTTTCAGAAATGTTTTTAATATTCCAGGCATTTCCGGACGAGTTGAATTTCAATGAGATGGAATACAATAGCAAAAGAACTATGGCTTTCGAACTTGTTAATACTAGTTCAGTAAATATCTACTACAAATTAACGTGCACTCATAGCGGCTGGCCAGTTGGCGACATCGAGAAAGATGTCGAGATGTACCCAGCATCGGAAACGGCTTTTGCAGGAGCTCGTAAAAAGATTATGATTTCTATTACACCCCGTACAGCAGGCTACTATGAATTTTATATAAAATACCTGTTAAGAGTAAATTTTCAGTCGGACAAAACGGTATCCGCGTTAAGTCCAATAAAAATCTGCAAGGTGAACTGTATGTGCATATTACCAACGATAAGGGTACAGTTCAAATCTTTTAAGTCATGAAATGTTTTTGAATTACAATCTAACAATGACAGTCTTACGTAGGTGAAGAATGTATGTGCTTTTGGATACAAGCAGATATATTCAATGAACATCAGCAAGCCATTCTTGTGGAAAGCGTTGCAAATAAATAAGTACAATTATGTTCAAATTATGTTGTAGCTGTTAATTACATTTCTTATATAATTGATGCTTTTTAGAATGAACAGAATAATGAAAATGATGGTGCCAGGAGACAGAAAGCATATTAAAGCAGAACTTTTTCCAATGATCCTAAATAATGGAGCCATCTTACTGAAATTCATTATTGTAAATCCTTCGAAATTTACAGTTTCGATGTCTATAAAGAGAGTGAAGCGATGTGATTGTAAACCTTATGTAAAGAGAGTTGGACTTTCGCTACAACGCACTGTAATTGACTGTGTACATGAAGATCTCTGCGTGATGGATCCAACAACAAAGCTATTAGAAGTACGAGTTTTTTTCTTCAATGTTCAGCCAAAGTTAAATTAAGAAATTAATATAGAAATGTTGTAGCCGCAACAAGAAATGATACTCAGCGTGATGCTACGTTATACGTTAGCTGGAAAGTCAAGCTTATGTTGGGACATAGACATGGGACACGATCGTCATCTGATTTTGGATATACTTCTCGACTGCTTGGCTGAGTCAGACACGCAAGACTACTTCTTGAGCGACCGATACATCACGTTTGGGAAAATCTACTTTGCCAATAGGGAGCCAATTTATAAAGTATAATTTGAATCAATACGATTAATTATATTTGATATTAATGTGAAGAAATTTCCAGACATTTTGGATACATAACGTTACAAACAATAGGTTGCCGTATTCTGTAAACATGGATAATATTCGCAAAATAAATGAAACTTACCACTGTGAAGTATTTTCTTGCTTAAGTACTAATGGTGTTGTAGAAGCTCTAACTGCTGTACCTATTTTCTTAAAATTTCAGCCAAGGATGTTTGGAAAATATCGGGTAAAACATAATTCTACTGAATTTAATTAAAGTTTCTATATTTGCTGTATTTTGCAGGTGACAATTCCAATAACCATGGGTGACAAAACGTCGGAGTTGATAGCAAAAGGATCAGCATCTCATGAGTGCAGATTGACTGATGTTGGGAGAATAATACCAGCACACTGCGCTTGCAAAACTGAACTGTTCCCTGCATATTTTAGCATTGACTGTATTGACCTGTGGTCTATGCCTATGCACAATTACATCTTTAAAATGCTATTAGTTTATAATAATTTAGATTATGATGCACTCGCATATGAATGGCAATGGTACCTGATAGATTTAACTTGTTACAGAATATTTTTTCAATTTTGATAATTGGTAAATATTTGCAGTCAAAATATACCAGGCATAATTTCTGTGGATGTATGGCCACGGAAGGGTGTAATGAAACCAAATGCAGTGCAAACTTTTAAAGTGAAAATTGATTTCAAAGGACATTCTGGTAGAATTGATCTGAATGTACCTTGTGAATTTCTGAATGCTAGTGATAGAGGAGAATATTACAGAAGTGTCATTAAACATGATATCTTAAGTAAAGAATTGGAAAAACATTTTACCATTACAGAAAAAGGCACTACTGTACCAGTAAGTAATTAATTATCTTTTTGTCTTATAGTAAAGAAAAGACTAAATCATATCTGATTTTTGTAGAAACCATGGCTAAAAATATTACACAAGCCAGAACCATTCCGCAAAACACTAACAATACGATGTTCAATAATTCCTATAGAAGATGCACACTTAAGAGTTAGTTTAATGAATGAATTAAAAGCAGCTCCGTCAAAGACAATTCACTTCGACGAGCGACCAGGGTACAATATCACACAGAATGAAAAAGAATTTTTTATAGTTACGTTTCTTTTGGAGGGCATATTGTGGTAAAAACTTATAAATAAAATTATATGTATATTACAGAAGTTTTAATTGTAAGAAGGTATTTATATTTTATTTTAAAGGGACATTGTTAACAGTAAGAGATTTATAAAGATGATCAAAGAAAGTTTAATTCCTAGACGGAATTTATATTACTCGCAATTTATGATGGATTTGGCAGAGCGCAAAAGATTAATACGAAGATCTTACATATCACCACCGTTATCACTTATTACTCTAATATTGGAAAAAGTAAAAAAGCGACAGAACAGTAACTTTGATTTGTTGCGTTATTTATGAAGCGATATTAAGCCTGGTGACTGTGTTTTAGATGTTATTCGCGTCGGTACATGATGAATTCTCATTAAAGAGTGTACATTTAATCCCCCACGATGATGTAAGACATAAAAATTATTTTAAAATGTTGCCTAGAGAAAAACGAGTAGATCTTGAACAGGAGACAGGTATTTGTTGATTGTATTTTGAAGAATTCATTGATTTTTATGTTGTAAAGATTGATTCTTGTTTAAATAAAATTTTTTCAGATCTTATTACTATTGATAATGCTGAAATTATCGAGGAGTCTGATTATATGAAATCGCGATTTAGAGTGTCCTTTATAGAATAAAATATAAATAAATTTTTATACAAATATAATACAGTATCTAATATTAATTCATTTCTTTATTATATGGATCAGGAATACGTTTAAATACAGCTAGAAATTTATCTCCTTTATTTCTGGTCACCTTTTGGCCTTCTTCTGTACTTTCATACAATTTTTCCACGATAGGGTCCTTATCCTTCAAAAACAAATGATTTGAAATCAAAAGTTAGTATATTTTAATCAAGTAAATGATATAAATAATGTATGCAATAATGTAATGCATGATTACAGCTCTTTTTTATAGTCAATGATTTTCAAAACTTACCACTTCCTCTTTGGACAGTTCATCAAACAATGGATGTTCTTGAAAATGCCTTACTATCCATTCATGTAAATCTTTAACATCTGTCACCGTATATACAATTGCCTTTAAATGATATTTACCATTAAGTATCCATATCGATAAAGAAAAGAAATATCAAAAGTTTTATAAATAATATTACCCCTTCTGCTAACACATAAGCATATTCTGCCAAGAGTGTTTTATTTATTATTCTCCATTTATGCTTTGATTTCTTAAAGTGTGGGTCAGGGTATAAGAAGAACATTTTTTTCAACTATAAAGATATAAAATAATAATTAATTAAAATGAATCATAATTATTATTATAAATATAAAACTATACCTTGTTGTACCTGGCCTTTGTGAAAATAATTTGGCAAATACTTCATTGCGTTAGTTCTCAAACATGCAATATTTTGATACTGTCCAGGATTCTGTGATCTCAACGCAGCAATACGATCCATAACATAGTCAGAAACTTTTACTCTAATCTCCATACCAACGATCAAATTATCAGGAAACATGGATGACAATGTAACTTGAGTAAAACATTTCATTAGTAATGTAATTAGTTATATATTTAAAGACAGAACCTGAATCCATACCGAGTAACCCTCCATAACCACAACCAATATCAGCAAATTCGACACATTTTTTTGGAATGTTGTTTTCTTTAGCCTCTTCTTTGTCAGTTGAAAAATAATGTGGAAATAATGCACTCCAATCCATCAGATCAGGTTTTATGGGACTGAAATTTCAATTCAGTAAAAAGTAAGAGAATTTCCATGCAATATTTTTAATCAATATAACTATGATTTTATAGATAAATTTTTGAATGTATCACAAAAAATAATTACATACTATTCTATACAATGATCCGCTATTGGATTCGAATGAGCACGTTGTCGATAATATTTTTTTTGTGGTAAAGCTAGTGCTTTTGACATGATGAGCCTTGATTAAAAACAAATCCACATGGCAAGGAAACTTAACCTAATCTGGCTGAAACCTAGTTGAACTGACTAACAATAAATATATGTATGTCGAATTTACAACATTTTTTTATTTATAATCAAAGAAGTCTCAGATCTTAAATTTCGACTTGCTCGTAATAGTTAATGAAACATTATAATACAAAAAGAAAGTAAATATTGTAAAAGAGAGTCGTTTCCATTTGCATAAAAATATTGCTGAACACGTTTATCGATTTATTTAAATCATTAATTGTATGTCTTCAGATTTAAAAAGGAAATCAAAAAAGTTAGGAAGAACATTTTAAAATAAAGTTTCTTTATCTCTGACTACATATTGATACAGATGTTTTGCTTCTCTGTCAAGCTGATCTTAGAATAATTTCAGCAAAGATCATCTTCTTGTAACAGGAATTCAGGATTACAACGAAAGTTATTCTTTAAAAATGAAACGTAAATATTTAGCAATTTGGTAAATTAAGATCTGCATTCGAGTAATGAAGCTTAAAAATTTGAAGTTTCTATATTTTCAAGTTTCTAATCTTCAAAATTTATAAATTTCATTGCTGCTATTTACTTTTAGCAAAATGTGATAAAAATTGTCCACAAAAAATTATCATAAATTAAAAATCAATCAGCACCATCTAACGGTATGATCGTCGAACTAAAAGTAATGTATTAGCATAACATGAAAGCAGAAGAGGTATACTCAGGATCGTAACATAATTTCTCGGGCCCTAAGCATATAAATAAAAATAAATGTCTTCCTAAACCTGCATGAGAATGATATTTGCAAAGAAGACAGACTTTTTGTAGTGTGGTAATTTATATCTGTTTAATTTGAAATTATAAAAAGATTCAGACTCCTCTTATAATGGGCCCCGAAAAGCATGCATATTTTACTTATTGATAGAGACAGTCCTATACGTAATCAAAATTATGATATGTTATTAGGAATAAAGCTACAAGCAACAGGAGCGCAGAATGGTGAAGGAGGTATCGAGACAATGTTTCGATACTAGTCTCGAATAGGTGCCAGAATTGGTCTCCTGGTAGCAGGATCGCAGGAAGTAGGAGGAGGTATTAGACAAGGAAAGAGCACTGTGCGACAAGGACAGCCATATGCCCGCCCATTTCAACATGGCGGCCACCATCAAAAACAACCGTGGTAAGAAATAATTAAATACTACACTTTCGACGAATAATTTGTAGACTTTTATAATTTAATCTTAAAATACGCGATCGTAGAAATTTTTACGTGTACGTTTCATCAGGATTTTTTACGTATTTAATTAGTTATTAATAATTTCAATCCGTCAGTATTTTGTAAATGTTCAAGTATCGAGTATGCAATTATTCATCAAAAATTATAGTCCTAAATAATTCAATGTGCAAAGCAATATTTGTTAATAATTTTTAGTGATTTTTATTCATAGATTTTTAGCATTTTATTTATTATTTTCTGAGCGTAGTGTAAAGTACGCAAATAGTTCGAATAGCATCCGTTAGATGGTGCCACTGTCAATTTTTTTGAACAATTGAACACAATTCGCTAGATTTGGAGTAAAGGTATCAGGAAAGCAAAATGTGCGAGGAGGTTTATTGTCAGCAACCAAAATTGGGCGGGAAAAATTGGATTTTCTGTCTCGTCAATGTTCAACAAAATAGTGGACTTCATAAACAAGTAAATAATTAATTATATCATTTTAATTCGATTTATTACGAATATATTACGTTTTACATTTATTCTATCATTCTTCTTTATTGTTCGAACTTTCTTTTGTATTGCATTCGTTTATACTAACGTTAGATTCATGCTACTGTAATAGTATATCTAGTATAAGTACATTGTGTGTCATAAAGAGTACAAGAAAGTTCAATACAAATTTTATCTGATGTTTTATAATGGTGACAGAAATAGAATAAGATTCGTTATTAATTTCGTGCGATCGTTATGCGTGATAACTTTTAAACGAGACATCGATAAAGTGACAGTGGCCGCGTAGAGACCCTAGTTCTAATTCATCATTTTTGACATATAATTTTTACTTTATTTTTATTTTCGTGACGTTCCTGTAGAATTTTCTCCGATAATGTGCTTTCAAAGTTAAATTGGAAAAGTTGAAGAGCGATAACAAGTGATAGTATCGAACATTGCGTGCAGGGCACTGGCCATGGCGCACGTGCATGAGAAATCAGCTGTGCAAAATGGCGGAGCGCCACCTAGTTGGTGACGCTCAGTGAATCGAACGAAAGACGGCGAGATTACTTTTTTATGTCACAATTTCGCGGTGTAATCAGTTGAATTTTTCATGTTGTGTAATTAACACGATGCGATCTGTACTCAAATGAAAAATGGTGCTTTTAATTCGTTATCGCGCGGTTCTTGTATTCGAGTAACGTGGTTGGTGATCTTGAAAGGATCTTCTCTCTCAGGTGAGGTTAGAATCTGTTCGACAAAAAGCCTTCTACAACTGTACAATTAAAATTTGCCTCGTAGAAATTGTATCTTATTAGAAAATAATACGATATACATTGTAATAGTTTTTTAAAGTAGATTTCTCTTTATTTAACGCTAAGTAATCGGAATGCATGTACATTTTTTTAAACGTTTTTTATAGAAACAACAAGTTCTATATTTCTTTTGTTGTGAGTCTTTTGTGTTTCGATAATGTGACTTCTGTATTACTTTTTTGTATTTTATTTTTACAACTTGTAGTGGATAATAATTTAGTTTAGTACAAACAAGTAATATATTTCTTTTTATTTAAATTGTTATAGTACGTTCTTGTTTTACATGTCATTGTCTTTTGATTTCAGGTGGAGGAACTGTGATTTTATCATACATGACGACAACGGATATCCGGAGTAATCGATCTTCTGTTTGATTGGTGAGTTGTTTAAATCTATCATATATGTTATGTGATAAATAACATTTAACATTACATACATCTAGTATTACACGATATTATTACATTCCTCTATCTATAGTGACTACGCGTAGTTCGTACATAATAAATTAACCTCTAAACTCTTAGTCGGGTAATTTGCCGCCATTAGATCAGTTAATCTTTTTCGATAAATTAATAATCTATAGCTAATTACATAAGTTTCGTAGAAATTTGATAAAATAGTCATTTCGTAGATGCTATATATACGATTATCTTTTTCTATGTTAATTTAAATTTGCAAAAAGAATGCTATCGAAAATAATTTTTCTATGGCTAATTGATATCGTAAGATGTCGAAATTTGCACTTTCGCAATTTCTAAAAGAGCTATAAGCATGATAACTTATTTATGCAATAAGTTCCTTCATTTATCAGAAGTGCAGATTAATTATACATAGGCCACTTACACGTACAGGAAAAAGTACATAATCGGTACGTATCAAAACTGAAAGTTGTTGAGTTCCTTTCTGAAAACATCAACCCCCCATAATTAATCATCGAAAACGTAAGATCAAGAGCAGGCACGCCAAAGAATTATTTGGTCAAAGTTTGAACATGTGTAACGCGTTCTAATAGTGTAGTTAAACTTCGTGTTGATAGTCAGAATTACACTGAGGTTTGTAAACATAAATGAACGTAGTCCTTTCGTTTAGTGACGGGTAAAACTATCTATCGATGGAAACGGTAAACGTTAATGTTGTCACTGTGAATACGTGCAACGAGTTGGTGCCAAATAGCTCGTTAAGTGTTTCTAACTTTACGTGTCATTAAACAATATGAACTCATGGCTGCCAGATCCACGGATGTGGTTAACATTCGATTCGGATTCGAACTGGGTAAATAAATTTTCCAAGATGCTTTTAACGCGCGAAATAAAGCGTTAAGTGTCCCGAACACCATTGCGTGCCGCGTCGCGGCAGTTACGTGACGGACTAACCAACATGGCCAATATTTAACCATCGTAACATAGAAATTAGAATTAGCGTTACTTTTCTAGGTTTTGCGCGTTAATCACGCGACATGAAGTATTTATACAATTATCGTATTATTCCACTGAACTACTATTCTTATACCACTATTCTGTTACACTATTAGTATACTATTGTTTGAATATACTTTCCGGCACTGTACTACCCTTTCACTAGTTCACTCATTTTACAATCGTTTCTTTCAACGATAGACTACGAGTTAAAATTATTGTTTTAACATTGAAACATTGGAACGGAGGGTGTGAGAGAACGGTGTTTTTAATTTAGGAAACGGTTGATTCACAAAACCGCCAAGAATGCGAAATACGAGTTGGCACCAGTTCCCGTAGTACGTAAGTACTCGATTCATCTGCTGTTATCTGAAAAGACCTGTCCTACTTATTTATATTTGTGTGTTTGCGACCGAGAACGATACGAATCGTCAACGTGACCGAGTTTCACTTTGAATTCAGCGAGAACCCGTAATCTCGTTTCTTTTACCGTCGTTTACCTTCCTCGAATTCCTTGAGAAATTGCTCAGCTCGGATCTTAAATCTAATCGGCGGATATCGAGCAGAAGTTCAATGCTTGTAGATCGATTTTTAAAGAGGATGAGACGAGAACTCGAGTGTAAATTGAAAATGGAAACCAACTATTGTGGTTTATTGATTTGTCATGATACGACGGATACTGAATAGGGAATACTGCCAATACTAGGTTTACTAGCTATCATGTGTATTTGTTATTTAGAATATTGATGAAAACACTAAATACTATCTAGGGGAATTAACTATCTAAATACGATCTAGAGGAATTTCAGATTCGGAGACGGTGGGGTTATTAGAAGTATGCAGATATCTAGTGTCTAGTACCTAGTGTGCATAGATCTAGTGATATTATAGATTCTACGTCCCTAGGGATATTCAGAGCCTACTAATCTAGAGACATTGAACTTTAGGTATATTAGTGACATATAGTACTGGGAATCTAAAGATATTTGGAATTTAAGGATATTTAGGGGCCTAGGGATATTCTAGTAATTCTTAGCGATAAGGATATAAAAAGTATTGTAGATTTACACACATTTCTGATTCAGAAATATTAGGGGTTTAGTGACATCAGAGATCTAGGGATACAGGGTTCTAATAATATTGAGATTCAGACATTATGGATCTACAGACATATCATATAAGGTATACATATCATTAGTAGACGTAGGAACGTGATCGAATTTGAGGATACGAATATTATAATATTCGTACAATTTTCGGTGCTAAATTATTGATTACCAAGAGTACAACGTTCACTTTGCGAATAAATCAATGCAACGAACACGTGTAGCTCAACGAAGAGCAAAAAGCGGGATTCCCCTTGAATTCAGCCCCGATGAAAAAGCGTTGACGATGACGCGTTACTCTCACCAGAACATCCCACTTACCTAGAGCCGAGTTACCGTTAACGAACGGCCGAGTTATCGGGTCGATTGTGTACCGTGTACAAGAAAGAGGAGCCCCTTCCAATTTTAGACGACCGTATAAAATCGCGATCTCGTCCCACTCGTCGTTTTCACCAGCAGCCAGAGCACGATAGGAGGAGGATGATCCGTCCACGTGGATCGCCCACATGCGTCAGGTATCGTGGTCGCAGTTAATTGTTCTCGTCAGTCCGCGAAGGATGTTGGCGAGGTCGAGTTCGCTCCTCGAAAAAATCGCTTTTTCGCGTAACACGTTTCGAGTAGCCGCGAGTCACTTCAAATAAACTCGCGATCAGGATCCGTTCTTTGAACAAACGTGCGATCGGTGGATTTTTCATCTGCCTCGTTGATAAATAATTCAGTGCGTGTTCGACTGTCGTCATGCGTTCTGAAGGTGTCTCGATGGAATTTCGAAAAGGATAGTGAAGTGGAACGATGATGATACCGAGGATGATACATCGAACAGACCGGAAACGTGTCATGGAAAAGTTGTGTGCCAATAAAGAATTTGCCGGTGACATTTCGTTTTTGGAACCAGCGTGCCAAACATTCGTATTTATAGAGAATTGAATCATCGTTCGTGCAAGCAGGTAAACGGTATGGTGATCGAATTGATCTGATCGAAAGTTATTGGAGCGAAGTTACGACCGTTCAAAGTCACCGTAAGTGGGGATAATTATCCTTGGGACTTAATTTGACTTGTTAGAAGACCATCGAGATATTCGTTGCTAACGCGTTTCCTTTATTTTATTTAAACAATGTGATAAGTCGCCTTGACTCGGAGCGCAATTTGCTACGGGAAACGTGATTCACAGATACCGTGAGATAATGAAATTGATGGCCGCTTCGAAGGTTCTATGAAAGCATTTTGCTAGGAGCGTACACAACAGAATCCGTACAATTTCACTCGATACTGAATTCGACTTAAAAAATTAAGATATCAAATACCAGGAAGTACGTGATACAGAAAATTGCGGGTAATCAGAGATTAGTTAATTAAAAAACTTCCCATTTTTTCATACATTGTTCGGACCTTAGCGAAGTTAATCACAAGACGTATCTCAGATAAGATTTTATCGTCAGATATTCCATCCTAGAATTAGTTTTCTCGGAACATTAATTAATTGCAAAAAAATACTAGGACAATTTTGTCAAGACAGTTACATAATTTCTCGATTACCACTCGAGAAAGGAGTGGCATAATTGTTCGATAATTGCAAAATTGTTCGATAGAATGGCTCGATCGTCGAGAAAAATCGACGTTGCATCGTTCATGGTTCACTTTCCTTCGCAGTGAAAGTTCACAGGTACCGTGCTTATTCGATCAGCTGATTTATTGATTTTCTCTCGAGCGTGTTCCCTTTGATGTCGTTTGATATCTTAATTCGTTCGGGCGATAAACGCTTGTGATAAAAATCGCGTCGATTTTTATCATTCCATTAAATCGATTGACAAAAGAAATCTCAAGGAGATGCTGTTAGTTAACGATATCTCGATATCTTTACTTCTTTTATTAACGGAATAGCGGGTGTCCAGCGGGGGGCTCACGGGCACTGGCAGGGCGCGAATTTCAAATTTTTGAGCAAGGTTAATTTTTTTGGTGACTTTGGGGATTTTGGGGTTTGGGTTTTGGGGGATTTTGAGTTTGCGGAATTTGGGATTTGGGGAATTGGGGATTTGGGGAATTTGGGATTTGGGGAATTTGGAATTTGGGGAATTTGGGATTTGGGGAATTTGGAATTTGGGGAATTGGGAATTTGGGGAATTTGGGATTTGGGGATTTGGGGAATTGGGGATTTGGGGAATTTGGGATTTGGGGAATTTGGAATTTGGGGAATTTGGGATTTGGGGAATTTGGAATTTGGGGAATTGGGAATTTGGGGAATTTGGGATTTGGGGATTTGGGGAATTGGGGATTTGGGGAATTTGGGATTTGGGGAATTTGGAATTTGGGGAATTTGGGATTTGGGGAATTTGGAATTTGGGGAATTGGGAATTTGGGGAATTTGGGATTTGGGGATTTGGGGAATTGGGGATTTGGGGAATTTGGGATTTGGGGAATTTGGAATTTGGGGAATTTGGGATTTGGGGAATTTGGAATTTGGGGAATTGGGAATTTGGGGAATTTGGGATTTGGGGATTTGGGGAATTGGGGATTTGGGGAATTTGGGATTTGGGGAATT